GCTTACGAGAGGCACAATCTCGTAGTTGATCTTTCAGAAAGCGTAGTAGAATATCGATCGCAATGTTTTATAAAAGCGGCCTGAGCGTTGCGGCGATAGAAGCCGAGTGTGTCCATAGAGCCTTTCTTTCAATTCAGACTTGACATCTTTTCTTAACGTCATTACATACCCTTCAATGCAATCTATATCAACTCTGCTTGTTATTTCTGCAATGGCCTCTGCGGTACTCGGAATCGTCTGCCATCTCGGCCGAGTCTACTGTGGACATCCCCTTTCCAGACACGGGCAAATAGATATGTTTTTTTTTCACTCGTATGTCTCTCAGATCGCGGGAGCCCGATACTATCAGGGCTCTTCACGACGGCGAAAGTTACACTCAACTGAGAAGCAGAAAGCCAATTTGTTATCCGACTGCATCAGCGACTAGCATATTGGCTTCAGTGAGACTTGCTCATGGTTATGCACTGAAATTCCAGCGGCTCAGAATGACTACTGCTACTATGTAAATATCAGAAAGCGGTTATTAGTAAAAATTCTAGGCCCTTCTTACAAACGATTAAAAAGTTGGTAGCCAAAACATAGTTTGTATAAATGATTGTCTTGATGTGAGTCTTCCTCCATAATCTTTTCCCTGTAAATACAGAGATTTTTCTTACATGCTCCTTCATACTAAATGAATGATTGAGTATAAATATGATGAACATTCACGTGGGTAGGCATTTATTTACCCACCTTATAAAGAAAACGACAACGTGGTCTTTCCGCATTCTCGACACGCAGGTCAAAGCAAAGACGTCACAAGCAAGTAATAATAACGAATCACAATTTGCATTGGCCTTTTGGTACCTGGAAATCATAGAAACTTGTGGATGTTGGAGCGCATTCTTGCCTCATTCTGATGTTCTTTTCTCATGGGTCGAAAATATAGAACCCACCTGACCAAGCCGCCGTCTTCAGTTTTGGATCGCCAGCCACAATGTTTTCAATAGAAGAGTTGCAATATCAACAATTAACCTTCCAATAATGCTTAATCAATTGGAATAAAGTTCGAAAATGTACTTGGCACCTTGATGGCTGCACTGGGCTGTGTAACCAGCCACTACACGCCATGATAAGAGGCATACTTTGAATCCGTACCGGAAGCGATGATGAGCAAGCGGGTCTGCTCAGAAGCAAGGAGCTGAATGCTTTGTGATACAGTGGCAGTAAACAATACTTAGATGAAAAAAAGAAAAGTTGGAGGGGCAAAGGGGTGTGTGTATTTGCCTCGTCAGATAGCGGATGTTACCCCAAGGTCCCGAGATCTGGGCTTGACAGGCTTGTCGATCCTGCGAAAAGTATAAAGGCTGTTCTGTACGACAAAAGGACGAAATTGCATAATAAAAAGACGCAAGCGGGAGAGAGCCTTGAATTAAATTACAATTAAAGTGCAAAGTATCCCGCCCCTTTTATCTTTTCATCACGGTGAGGCTTGCCTAGTGAGGTTGTACACATGCTAAGCCTCACAATATTGCACAATCAACCAGCCACTTACTCCAATTTGTCTCTTGCATTTATGGCTCTGTGGAGCTGGCGTTCGACTACAACACGTTCAAGAGTCACGAGGCTGGTTGAAACTGCCCAAAACGTCGTGACATCGTGTCACTTCACAGATATGTCTTCTCATATCACCTAGGTAGAGAGACACGATACGGATTCCATATATAATTTATGGGGAAAAAAGGAAGGTTGTGAAGGTATAGAAATGTATAAATCCATGAAAAAAATACATGAATCAGGAAGAAAAGAGAAAGACGAATGCGTCACACATTACGGGAGAACTGGGACCTATTCTAGGAGTGAGACTGAGGTGCGGTCATCGGGGTTGAAATGCGTCATAGATGAGAACAATATGGATGAGCGTTTGTTCATACATGATAAGACACAATAGGAGAAAACACTGAGCCACCACGCTGGTGTCCAACATACAGTTCAACCCAAGCTTCACACAACGTAGAAGATAACATCAATTGAATCTACCATATATGGCTTGTAGTATATTCATCTAAACCAAGCATCAATCGTATTTCCTTCTGTTTTCTGCATATGTATTCTCAAAAAAACCAAGCCCAATTCCCGCGCTGCATCCCAGCTAATTATTATACTCCTAAGGGATAAAGACAAAAAATGTTTTCTCGTTAGACCTTCCCCCCCACCTTTGTTTCCTTCTTTTCGTCTCTACCCAATGAGAGAAGAACATAAATTGTTCATCGTAAATCCAATGTCATGAGATGGATCAAAAACGTAACTCGAGTGCAATGAGGCCGTGTCGACTCATTGATGCGCTAAAATCTTATGCTCAACGAACTGCTCAACAAAGAGTCTCTAAAAGTCAAACTCGGGTCGGAAAATGTCAGGGTCGACGCCAGGAATCGTCTTGTCTGCAAGATCCTTCCTGCCCATCTGCGTAAACACCCTCCTGAGGGTATCGTACAAAGTGCTGCTGCGGTTCTGAGCAGACATTCTGTCAAGAGCCTGGTCGATTTGACCCGAGGCACCGTCACCCAGGATCTCGTACGCCTTGCTGCGGCCAGACTTCTCAATCGTCTTGTGCATGTCAAGAGCGGCAAGGAAGTGAGATGCCGCTTCCTGGTGGCAGTTGATGTTAATACAGCTCACACCCAAGTTGTAACGGGCGCGGACAAAGTTGGGCGCCAGAGACAGAGCTTGTTCATAAGCAGCAATGGCCTCTTCTGACTTTCCACTGTTGGCGAGGGTAGCACCAAGCCTGTTCCAAAGCAGGTGAAGTTGCTCCTGTTGGTTTGTGGTGCCCAACTCCGAAGAGTGAAGGGCTGATTGGAAGCAGTCTACTGCCTTTTCGTATTCTTCGGCTCCGTAAAACAGTACACCAAGTCCGACTTGGACGTCGGGGTCCATGTGCTCGCCATCAGGGCTAAGCTGAGCGGCCTTGATAAAGTGGCTGGTGACCTTATCATGCAGCTGCTGTCGATCGGTGAATCCCATATCAGCGGCAGGGTGAAGATCTACAGGACTGAGAACGTTGGGATATTTGACAGACAGCCACCTCTCGAGCGTGCGGTACGCCGTGCTGTCGTAGCCCTCGTTGGTATATGAAACAGCCAGACCCATCATGGCATCGAGGTTGTTGGGATCGAGCTTCAAGGCTTGCTCCAAGGCACGAATAGCCGCTGTTTCCTTTTCGTTCTGGGCCTGAGCAGAGCCCAGGTATACCCAAGCCTCAACATGGTCCGGGTTCTGCTGAACTGCGGCCTCAAATGCCAGGGCTGCCAGGGACAGGTTACCTCCCTCCTTCATAACGCGAACACCTTCGGCAAAGGCATTCTTTTGCTCACGGAAGATGTTCTCTTCCTCAAACATGTATTTCTCAACAATTGGGTCGGCGAATCGTCCCCAATCATTCGGGCCATTGAAGTCAGGCATGAGATCCTGGCCCCATTCGGTATCAAATTGGTCAAAGTATTGTTGGTCGTTCACCATCGATCTAGCAGCAGCAGTTTCAGCCTGAATTCCTTTCCAAATAGATTCGAAATCACCAAACTCATTAGTTTCCGATTGGAGATGGTTGTCCATCTGCTCCAACTCTCCCTCAGCAGCTTTCGCCTGCTTCTCAGCTTCTTTGGCCTCTTCCTTGTCTTGGAGTTCGAGCTGGGCAAAGTGCTCTTCCCACTTGCTGTCGTCCAGCTCAACCATCTTACCCTTGCCCTTCAGGTCCTGTTGTTGCTGCTGCATAGGTTGCTGTTGCTGGTACATCGGCTGCATCATGGGCTGGCCATATCCCATACCCATGTTCATGCCCATGTTCATACCCATCATCGGTCGTTGAGCCATCGTGGGTTGAGCCATCGCGGAAGACAAGTCCCCGATCATCTGAGGCGCCATTGCGGCAGCGGCAGCCGGGTTTGACTGTTGAAAGCGAGCAAATTCTTCGGGGCTGAACAGAGGCCTGAGTGGTGCGAATTGATCCATGTTGGGCTGCTGGGCGTTGAAATCTTGAGCCCATGATGGCGACACTGACTGCGCTCGCGGCGGCGCAGGCGCAAGCTGGGCAGCAGGCCCGCCTGGTAAGGTAGGAAACTCTTGTTGAAGACCAGGGCCAGCGTTGAGGAAACCGTTCATCATCTACAAAACCATAGACATATCGCGTATTAGTAATGCGCGTCCTCATAGCGAGATAAACAAACACGCATATATCGACCATAAACAACGTACCTCATCCTGGGGAGCGTTCGCAGGCGAGCTACGAAAGCCGCCCAGCTGACCGCCTGGCCCTCTGCCAACGAGGCGGTCTCGCTGTAGTGTTTTATCATCTTGAACGTGCTTCTGAAACTGGCTTAAGGGGTTGCCAGCCGTCGAGCACTCTGCGCCTCCCATAAACGACATCTTGGCTGTATGACTTGTAATGAAATGCGCAAGGGGTATCGATCGCGTCTGCGGCTGCTCTAGTAACAAGAAAAAAGGACAGAAGGTAAGAAGAAGCTGAGCAGAGAGGCAGCCAGAAAGATGAAAACAAGTCGAAGATAGACTCAGCCGCGGCTGGGATGCTCGTTGGCTAGCGGATACGAAAGACACGCGCTTAGACGGGAAGAAGCAAGGGCTAGGACGGTAGAGCGGCTCCGGCTTAGGCAATAAGATGCAAAGAGGCGACTTCCAGGCACGTCACCTGCAGGCCAAAGGACGGGTTTGTTTTGATGCTGTGTGGGGAAATCGGCCTACCGAGGCTGTCGCCGGTCCGTCCGGGTTGGTAAGCTTTAGAATAGATATCGTCGCTCATCAGGGGCTACACGTGACTGTGGGGTCGGAAATAGATGCGTTGTGGCTTTATTCCGCGCTTGGGCTGTGGCGGTGCCTACTAGCAGCCGTTGATGCTATCGATAAGACTTTTTTTTTCTTCGTTTTTGGCTGTCCCATCAAGAAGGCATCACGGCGATTGGCATAATTGCAAGAAACAGCGATTAACAAATCCCATTGCCAATTCCACCATGCTTCGCCAAGTGTAAGTCTCCAAAATCTTACCCAGTGCTTTCATTAGCAAAATTTCCAGGCCATGAGTCAAATCTAACGCAAAACTTTCTTCCAGAAAACCTCGTAACGCTCGCTCCAAGAGAGCCCTCGAGAAGCGCGAGCCCAAAGCCATCGAGAACCCCAAAACATGCCTCTTCCTCCGCGGCAACAACTGCTCCCAAGTCGTCCAAGATGCCATGAACGACTTCTTCTCCATGCGCCAGCCCCTCTCCAAGAAATTCACCAAGAAGAACCCCATCCACCCCTTTGAGGACGCCGCCTCCATCGAGTTCTTCTCGGAGAAGAACGACGCCAGCCTGTTCGTCTTTGGCAGCACACAAAAGAAGCGCCCCCATGCGCTGACGTTTATCCGCACGTTCGGCCACAAGGTGCTGGACATGCTGGAGCTGTACCTCGACCAGGAGAGCTACCGCTCCATTACGCAATTCAAGACCAAGAAGTTCGCCATTGGCATGCGGCCCATGGTGCTCTTCGCGGGCAGCGCCTTTGAGAGCCCCGTGCCGAACGAATACACGCTCGCAAAGAGCTTCTTCATGGACTTCTTCCGGGGAGAAACCGCGGACAAGATCGACGTCGAAGGCCTGCAGTACATCGTCTCCATCGCCGCCGAGGACACCGCCGGCGAGGGCGACGCCAAGCCCGCCATCCACCTGCGGGTATACCTCATCAGCACCAAGCGCAGCGGCCAGAAGTTGCCCCGCGTAGAGGTCGAGGAGATTGGTCCCCGCATGGACCTGCGGGTCGGACGCATGAGGGAAGCAGACGAGGCGATGCTCAAGGAGGCGATGAGGAAGGCCCGCGGCACGGAGGAGAAGACGAAGAAGAACGTCTCCATGGACTCAATGGGTGACAAGCTGGGTCGTGTCCACTTGGGCAAGCAGGACCTGAGCCAGATGCAGACAAGAAAGATGAAGGGATTGAAGAGATCTCGCGACGATGCCGCTGAGGTAGACGACATTGTCGAAGTTGATGATTCGAAGCGAGCAAAGAAATAAACTGGCAAAGGTAACAAGAATCTAATAGAATGGAGGGAAGGAGGGAAGGAGGGAAAAAAGATGTCTGGCGTGCTTAAATTCTGGGAATTGGAGTTTGGCGTCTTGGGCGGCTTTATAGTCGGCTTCTATCGATCACTGCTATATAGTGTCCTGAGATTTTGTTTTATAGTATCAAGACATCATAATGAGATGAACTGATGGATCTAGATTCATAAGCATTCACATATTTTGGTTCACATCCGTTGTCTCACGATTCAGTGATGTTTTGACAATTGCATTCGCATTCACGGCACGACTCTAGCAGCACGACTCCTAGATGCAATTAACCCAGACCCAAATTCATCTTGACTCCTTATAAACCCCGTAATATTATGTGTCATATCGTCCTCCATATCAGTATCAAACAAGTGACTCCGAAGTAATCCACGAGCCCTGCTATCATCAGATCGTCTTTGACCATAGACCTCCATTCCAAACGCCCAGTTAAGAATCGCTTGTAAAAAAAAAAAAGAAAAGGAAAATAAACATATAAGAGTGATAGCTACATTGCAGCTTCGAAAGAAAAGGGGGAATAAAAATAAGCGACAACCCATCTCCCAACAAGAAGACACAGAAAAAACAAAACTCCCACGCTCGTACATCTTCCCGTGGTAATCTATACATCAGCGCCTCCTCTCCTGAACAAGGCCGAATGCTCCGAATGAGGTTAAGTAGCTGCAACCTCAACAGCAAATAATACACTTCTGAAAGGGGGTGCCGGGTGCCAAGTATTGGCGAATATCCCAAGAATGGTCACTCGGAATTCTAGTCGAGTGGCGGTGGAACCAAGCCATCCAAGTCTCCCACCACGGGGATGGACTCTATTGACTGCGGCCCTTGGGTACTGTCCATCATCTTGGCCATAAGGTCGATATGATTCAATATCGTCTCGGCGGATAGCACGCCTCCGTCTGCAGGAGGGTTCTCCTTCCGCTCCACACCCCATATATCAGCCGGGATGGCATCAGCCTCTCCGTCCCATAGAGCGATTCGGATCGGCCATTCAAGATGCCTCCACCATTTCGAGCCAGTCTCGAATAGACTCACAAGGCCCATAACCTCTCGACGAGCCACATCGTCCAGCCACCATACGTTATCCATACGCTTGAGCAATGCAAAGAAGCAGGCCAGAATGGCGAGCGCGCGAGGTCTCTTAGCCTCAACAAGCTCAACATAACGACGTGATACAGTTGACGGAAGTGCCAATGCAGAGGGAGCGTACTGATTCTTGTGGGCCCAATTTAAAACACAGACAGCATGGAAGTAGCCCTGATTGGTTGCGGCTCTGTTACTCTCATCTTCCTGCTCTAGCTCTTCGTCTAGATCATCGAGAAGGTGGCCAAAAAAGGATTCTGGCCCAAGCGGATTCAGATCCAACATGGAGCCAGGCTGAGAGTCGATAACCACTTTGAGTGTGGCGCTGTTTCGAATCCATTGCCAAGATGTGGCGACGATGGTTTTGACGCCCTGGAAAGCATGAAACCAAGAAAGAGGCAATGCATACCGCCGGTGCGATTCGCTCGGATCCGTCAGGTCGCTATCCTCCTTGATGAACAGACGAGAAGCAGTGGCCTGGAACGCGATAAGACATGAAGTGAGGAACAGGGCGTCGGCATTTTCCGCGGTGATACCCTTGTTCAGTGAGCGGCAATATTCCGCCAAGGTAGAGGCAGAGTAGGCATGGGATGCCTCAATCATAACCTTATCTTCGGGATTCTTGAAGCGCAAGTGTAACGCAGCGACAGAGAGAACCGCGTCAATCAGATACGTTCTCCCCTCCAAAGCGAAGCGTGGGACGTCCTTTTGCCAAATGTCCGTACTAGCAGGGGAGTTCATAACCAAAGTCTTGGACGTGCTGCTTATGTACTGGTGCCATAGCTGAAATTCCAAAAGTCTGTCTCCTTGCCTCGTCATGGAGGTGATGATGGGGACGGAGGGTAGCGTGAGGGAGGGCGTTGAGGACGTAGAAGGAGGCGAGAGCCGTGAAGGAGATATTCGATGGTCGTCGTACGAAGGAATGCCTGCTGTTGATGGTGCTGTCGTCGATGTCATCGTCATCGAGCCTGATGATGTCGGCGCGGATACTGGGGCTTGAGGGCTCCTGGTGACCGGGGTGGGAAGTGTATGCAGTTCTTCGAGCACTTGGCGGCTCTCGAAGTCGCACATGACACCATGTTTGGAGCAATTTCCGCAGCGCGGATGGACTTCATCGCACTATGCAACAAGACGATGGATCGCATCAGTATCATGTATCTCAGGGCATAGAAGTTGTTGGCTAGGAGTTTCCGGATGACAAGATATAGGTGCTTGTCCATTCCTTTCAGCTTCATTTTTTTTTTTCCCTTACCTTGATCTTGCGATTTTTGCACCGCCGGCACCCCGCGCGCGACTTTTTGTGCGACCGTCTAGGAGGCATAAGGAGAGTCCCGGATTCGCTGGTGAGATTGCAGAGGTGCAGCGACGATTCTAGATGCGCCACGCACTGGTGGCATCGCCACGCGGGCCGAGTGAAAGGCGCCTTTTGGTGATGCTGCAGGCGATTTGCAGGGGCAAGTCGCGAAATCCGACGGTCGGCTCCGGGTCTGTCGAGCGATGCAACTGCGCAGCGTCCAGCGATGTTGAACGGCTAGAGCTGGAGTGCCCGTGGCCAGAAAATGACGGCGATATGCCAACCTTCTAGTATGGTTTCGATACTATCAAAGAGCCGTCGGAGGGGCGATCCAAAGGGCTGGATTGGCGATTGATGTTTACGAGTACGAGCCCGGTGCCTTGATGAAGCCTCTTTTTGGTTAATAAGCCAGCTTGCAGAGGCGCAGCCACAGCCAAAATGAGCTCGGATGCTCGTTTCTCCGAGGCGCTGGAGCAACACGCCCGCGTCATCCGTCCAAGCCTCAGCTGGTTCAGAGATCATTGTCTCAATGGGGACAGCATCAGATAGATGACGCATCGATAACACTTTACAGCCATTACCGGCAACGAGGGTGAGCGGCAGCCACGATTAGCGAGATTTCCTTTTGAGTTTGTGCAGCTTTTCCGTTCGGAATAGCAGTGCCGGGTGAAGGGCCGTTTGGCGAGCCATGGAGTACCCCATATAAGGAGTCAAAAGCAGATATGGAGTAATACGAAGCATCCTGGTCAAATTGATGTGATCCCAGATACAATAACATGAGAAGCCAAGACGTCTTATCAATTTATGCCCGGAGTAAATGATTTGCGTCAACGTTTGCCTTTGGAACATTGAAGACCATATCTGGACGGTAATCTAATGGGTTTTCATATGCGCGCGAAAGCCTCTTGCAAGGATCGGCCGCTAGAGCACTGCATGTACTCTGCGTATTGCATGATAAGCCGGAGCTTGTTGTTAGATTATTGAACTTATATTCAACGTGACGACATCACAAGTAGGTATTTACAGACTTCGTATTCCCTATTCCCTATCTTCAGAAATCATCCGCGTCAATGATTCAAAATCGTCCACTTCGCCGTCCAGTGCAATAGATGGCCCTGATCTCTGATAGAACGGAAACTCAAACTCAGGTGGATAAAACCCTGCATATTCCCAATCAATGATGGCCTTGATCTTGAGCGTGCCTGGATCAACAATGACATTGTTCATGGAGAGATCGTTGTGACAAAACACAAGATCATGCTGCTTCCGCCGACGCATTCTCCATGGCCGCCCATCAGACTTGCGCATAATACGATATGGCGGAAGGACCTAACAGTGAGTTAGCCTGGCTTGTAAACAGCAGTATGTCCCAAATGCCTGGGTATATACACCATCTTATCTGGCCCACCCCAAAGGTCAGATGTTAGCTTCTTGAGCGTGAGTACATGGCCTTGTAGCTCTTCAGCAACAACGGCTTGGCTCTCAGCGTCAAGATCGTTCATTCCAACTCCATCCACATATTCGGTAATCAAGTATGCTGCGCCGTCATCTTCGAAGCAGCCAAGTAGTTTTGGGAGCGGGATACCGGTGTCTGCAAGAAACAAAAGGCATGCACCCTCATTGAGGACACGCTCCATGTTGAACAAAGAAACGTGCATATAACCATCCTGCTTTTGCCATTCGCAGGGTCGAAGGCTTCGCTTGACAAAGGTGCTGCTGACCCGAAAGTACTTTCTCTCGGGCGAGATAGCAATACAATGCTTTTCCCGTTTATCATTCAGCTCGCTGTTGGTCGGTGGGGCCATCTTGACGCAAATGTGTAAGATGATTTACGTTATCTATCAAGTGACGAGTCTCTCTTCGTAAGCTTCATGTGCATATACATATATGCGGGTAGCATGCTAGCAAAGCAGTAGGATCAGAAACTCCAATGTGAGCTTCTAGTTTAGGCCATCTTACTGTGACTATCTGCCTATTTATGGAAACAAGTGCGGCACCATATGCAGGATCAAGCCAACCGAACGTTTTGTGCGGAGCTGCACCGACATCCGGTCCAACAAGATGGGCTGTTCAAGTTGCCAACTCATAGAGTGTCACTATCAGGATCCCAACTCACAACTCTCGGCCAACAGGCAAATAAGCATCTTGTAGAATGATGCACAAGCAGTAGTAATATGTTATCAGCCAACGTTTACAGCTTTCTCACTGCCTCTTCTCCTTAACAGACCGCCACTCCATGGACAGACTCCCAATCATGGTGACGCAGGTCAGTCCAATGACGAGATACCAAGTCTGCACAAGGCTCTTGTCAATGCTGTCCAGTGTATCCTTCCACAGCGTTGGAGATATCACGCTTTTCAGGTCTGTCAAACCCAGTTTTTCAATCTCTCCAGGACTCAATGCGATACCCAGCCCTTTCAAATTCGTAGACAGCTGGTTAGTGAAGATTGTCTGCGCGACGGCAACGAAGAGAGCTGGCCCAAAGTTTTGCGCAAAAAGAATAACGGACAAGCCCAGCGGCACATCAGACGCGGGTAAAACAGTCTGAACAGCACTCTGGGGAGCCTGGAAACCAATCCCGCCTGCAAACCCAGCGAGGGCCGAGTAGATGATGAGCTGAGCAAAGCTGGTGCTGACCTGCCAAGTTGTCATGAGTCCCGCCGCCAACGGCATGAGAGTAGACGCAAGCATCATAGAAGGCACGTAGTATCCCCATATCGTGGTCCCTGCGCCGTTCAAGATGACAGCAATCATGAAGCCAGCCAGGATAGGCGCCATCATATAACCGCTCTTGGCAGGCGAGTATTCGCGAACGGCCTGGTAGTATGTAGGTATATAGAACTCTAGCACATTCATCGCCCCATTCGTACACAGACTGAAGATTAATCCGGCCAAGATGCTACGCTGCTTCATGATGCGAAGAGGCAGCAGAGCATCGTCGCCCTTCCGATGCTGTATATAAGCGAAGGCGGTAAAGAGCAGACCAAAGAGAACAAATAGAACAATGACTCTGGCATCACTCCAAGGGTGCTTCAGGCCGGCCCAAGATAATGCAATAAACAGACAAGTCAGAGCAGGTACAAAGACAGCGGTGCTCAAAAGATCCAGTTGGCCAAGTTTGGTCTGCCAAGATGCCGCCGAGTCGCTGCCATGAGCCTTGAGATTCGGAAAGAAGAACAGCGTGACGACTAGTGCAAGGCCACCGATGGGCAAATTGACATAGAAGCACCAGCGCCATGAGAGGGTTTGCACCAAAACACCACCAAGCAGAGGCGCGGAGATGACGGCCACGCTCTCAATACCTCCCAGCGTTGCGTTGAACACGGGACGCCATCGCAAAGGCATAATATGGACAGAAGCCGTGAAAGCTCCAGCGAATATGCCCGCTGCGCCGAGCCCCGTCACAGCTCGACCAACAATGAACATGGAAGAGCTCCTCGCTGTAGAGCTGAGCACCGAGCCAACGAGAAAAGTGGCAATGGCAGTCAGCAGCACCACTTTGATGGGAAAGATGTTATACAGCTTGCCGAACAGGAATTGAAAAGAGCAGACGCAGAGCTTGTACGCAGACAAGTACCAGCCAACATCCGCGACGGTGTGGAAGTAGTCGGTGATATTCGGGACTGCCGTAGCGACGATATTGCCATCCAGGCCGCCGAGAATGAGCAAAATGACAAGGCTCAGCACCGTAAACCAGAACTTTGCGCCTACGGGGTACTCCTCTTGCTCGGAGGCTGTAGTCTCCGCCGTCAATACAGCATTGTTAGTCGCATGTTCCGCGGCCTCAGAGCCTGTGTGACTCTGGTTGGACCTTGCTCGCGATGAAAATGGTTCGAGGGTGATTGAAGACGCGGCAACGGCACTGCCAGATTCAAGTCTGGGGAGTGCCTCAAGAGGCACCGTAACTGTTTCTGTTGTTGCTGCCATTGTGTAGCATTGGTATCTATTGAAAGATCATGGGTAGCATTGACATTCACTCCGGCCGCAAGAAGATGATTTCAACAAGAGGTTTCTGGTGTTTACAAGTATAGCTCTCAGAGCAAGAGGTGACGTATAGCATTTCTTGTGGGGTACCTTACCCGATGTCGCTTTGGTTTGAATAGAACATGAAATAGTTGATGAAAACTAGAATAAAACATACAAAAAGCTTTATGGGAGTATCAAAGAAATTGCTATCAGTATGTGCACCTGAACTTTGGATACCCTACTGTATCTTACAAAACCTACCTACTAACAAAAAAGTCTATGTAAAATAACGCCATCAAAAAGGCGTTGTCTCACACAATGCATGTTAGTAAGAGCCCGCCACAAAAGAGGCCACGTGAATACCTCCTACAGCTTATCGAAGTAACACTACTGTAGAAGTGTTCGATGGAGCTCCCAGCTCGGTGGACGTCCGCATGCATGACTGTTGACAAACCGTCCTTTTTTCCTGCTCTCTTTTTGGTCGAGAAATGATTTATAAGAGAGTCCACTACGTGTGTAGTCTGAGCCGGCGCTGGCCGGTGCTGGAATCCATCTGCGACGACTAATGCTCTCCATAGTCCATGTAGCTAGCTTGGTCCGAGATTGTCCTTTGAATGCGACCCAGGGCCATTGCCCAAAGAGGAAGATGGATAAGGATACTTCGGCCTCGTTCACCACCGAAGGAGTTTTGCATCGTTCCTCCAAAACACCAAACAATCTGCACCATAAAGTCCGTAGATGCCTCGTAGATGGCTTTTCTGCCATGCGCTGCGAAAACGCCGCGTGGGCAAAACGCCGTGTCGCATGGCACTAGAAGTGGGTTAATCGGATAGCGGATAGTTATCCAGCACGGCGTAGATCGCCGTTTGAAGCTATGGACGGGCTCTGGCCCCGAGGCCATCGATGATCTAATTGATAACTGCTGGGAAGGGGCGGTGAGATTCAGCTGGTGACAGATCGAGAACGCAAAACAGCAGCGTATCGGATGCCACAAGTATCGCCAGGTCGCAGTACTCCAGCCCTCCACACGGCATCACATCCCACCTGCCGCGATGAGACGCAGTGCTACCCTCCAAGAGAAACAAGTACAATTACCCGCCGATACTCGTCGTAATGGAGGTGCGGCTGTCGGTCGGGCTTTTTGGGGTGATGCGCCTCTGCATGCCGCCATGACACAGAAGTATCGAGAAAGGCCGCGCCGCCAACATTAGCAATACGGAGCAGTATCCGTTGAGCAGGTGGCTTACATACTGCAGGGCAGAAGCGCCCGTATTACAAAGACAAGCTTCTGTCTTCGACGCAGATGATGTGATTTGCAATTGCGCATTGCGTGCCACGAAACAGTTTCAGGCAGTCCTTTTGTAGCCCGCCTGTTGCATAAAAAGGGCGTCGAGCTTCCCACCTGCGGAAAAAAGAAATCGGTACCTGTACTGTAATCCATAATCCGCAGCAGAAACTGCCCAAAACGAGCCGGTGACGTGCTATCGCCGCTACTACACCCATTACCCACAGCTCGGCTGGATGACACCATTTTTAGAGTTGTTCTGCTCTCGTCCCTGAAGTGGAGTTTCCCTCTTTTTTTTTTACCAATTTTTTTTGTTCTTCGCGTGAAGCCAGAATTTTTCTATTTCTAAGGGTCTTCTCGCCTCCACCTCCTAAATTTCTTTTTCTTTTTCTTCAATTGTGAAAACGAAGATCATTGGTTTGCGTGTTGATCGACACAATCGCTCCGACGCTTTCTCTACCGAAGACGACATCAGGGTTCTTTCTCCTTCAAAGTCCGATAAGATAAAGCAGACCCTGCATAAAAAAAGTTGCCCCTCCAAAAAGCTTCAGCACAAAGGGAGCGGTTGAGTCCAGATCGCATCTGCCTCGACATCACGACCCAACTCTTCTTCTACATTTCCACCTCTTTCTCGCAATCACAACTTCAACAATGTCTCCTCCTGTGACTTCTGACCCCGTCACCACGCCCGTGCGGCCCCCGACCCCGGTGCACGCCTTTGGTACTCTGGCCGTCCACGCGGGCTCTCCCATCGACCCTGCTACCGGCGCTGTCATTGAGGCCATCTCTCTGTCCACAACCTTTGCCCAGTCGGCCGTAGGCAAGCCCGTGGGCATCTACGAGTACTCGCGCTCCTCCAACCCCAACCGCGACAACTTCGAGACTGCCGTTGCGGCCCTCGAGCACGCTCGCTACGCCCTGGCCTTTTCCTCCGGCAGCGCCACCACGGCCATCATCCTGCAGAGCTTGGCCGCCGGCAGCCATGTCATCTCCGTCTCGGACGTCTACGGCGGCACCCACCGCTACTTCACGCAGGTCGCCAAGGCTCACGGCGTCAAGGTCACCTTCACGCCCGAGATTGAGGTCGACATTGCCGAGCACATCACCCCCGACACGCGGCTGATCTGGATCGAGACCCCCAGCAACCCGACCCTCCGCCTGGTCGACATCCGTGCCGTCGTCACCGCTGCCCACAAGCACGGCGTCCTCGTCGTTGTGGACAACACCTTCATGTCTCCCTACGTCCAGAACCCCCTGGAGCTGGGCGCCGACATTGTCGTCCACTCCGTCACAAAGTACATCAACGGCCACAGTGACGTCGTCATGGGCGTTGCCGCCTTCAACAGTGACAACCTCAAGACCCGCCTGAGCTTCCTCCAGAACGCCATTGGCGCCGTGCCCTCGGCCTTTGACTCATGGCTGGCTCACCGTGGTCTCAAGACGCTGCACCTCCGTGCTCGCGAGGCCACCACCAACGCCACCACCGTTGCCCACGCCCTCGAGGCTTCTCCTCACGTCATTGCCGTCAACTACCCCGGCCTTGACTCCCACCCTCACCGCGCAATCGCCCTCAAGCAGCACCGCGACGGCATGGGCGGTGGTATGCTGTCCTTCCGCATCCGCGGTGGCCACGCTGCCGCCGAGCGATTCTGCCAGGTCACCAAGATCTTCACCCTCGCCGAGTCTCTGGGCGGAGTTGAGAGCTTGTGCGAGGTCCCCAGCAGCATGACCCACGCCGGTATCCCCCGTGACCAGCGTGAGGCTGTTGGTGTCTTTGACGACCTGGTCAGACTGAGCTGCGGTGTTGAGGATGCCGAGGACCTGAAGAACGATGTTCTCCAGGCTTTGGAGCTCGCCGTCTCTTTCACCAAGGGCGCCAACGGCACCAACGGTACCAACGGCGTCTAAATTCGCTGACTTGGGATTTCCCCTGCATTCAATTTTTTTTTCTTTATATCTTTTAGAGACGTGTCATGAGCATTTGATTTTTTACAACCATTATAGACAATGATAGGGGAGCGTGGAACAGATTTACGAATCTGAACAAAAGCACTCTGTTACAAGGGAGGAGGAGGAGGAGGAAGAAACAATACTATGAGCCGATCTATTTCTTGTAGGGAGGTCAAGGAAGAGCAGTATCAAGCTGCGGCATGAAATGGCGTGTGAAATGTAGTTATTCCAATTGTTTACCGGGCTAATCTGGGCTACTATCTGGAAACTTTGGGTTTTTTGTTTACTTTGACTGCTGTTTGGGGACAGGAAATATATACACAATCTAGCTGTAGAGCGACGATTGAATAATAATCCGAATGTCTGCCAAACTTGAATGTGCCTATCTTTCGATGTGCTATGAGTTTATAGATGAGTCCATACAAATCTCCATCTACGTCCTCGGGCGTGCGCTTTACTCCAGAGTCAGAATGCTGTCTAAAGCAAAACTTGTGTAGCAGTCGAGTCTGCAAGAACTTCAGACTCAACTAGGCAGCATCCTATCAGCTACTTGAAAGTTTCAATGAACCTGGACAGTCAACTGGTTGAGTAGCGTTGAAACATACAACATGCTCTCTACGTGACAAAGAAATCATCAGATGTGCACATTTCATCTTTTGTCAAACGACTTTTTGCATTTTTGTATGCCTCAAAAAAGCTGTCCTACTCCCCTTCGCCTCTGCCATGTGAATAAAACTCAAAAAGAATCTTCCCCTCCGAGTCGACGCGGCACTACCCTTACTACGCCTTCAACAGATTAGATGCAAAGGCGGCCGAGTGGCAGGCATAACCACGGCATGTGACCTTGTAAACGCGAAAATAAGAACTCGAAGGGGTGAAAAAACAAACACGCAACCATCATTATGCCCTCGATCATATTCGTTGTCGTGGGTTTCGTTAAAAGGGGGGGGTGGTGATATCAAACAAACAAAGTGTACTAGATAACAAAGTGGTTCATGGAGAAGCGAGGCTCCTCGTCCAAGCATTGACCCAGTGCCCCTTTTCTTTCCTTCCTAAAGCACGCACCATTACCACGGACTGGGTCGCCAGATAAAACCAGCAGCTCAGACTGGGTCGCTCAGCTCATCTAGAGGGCGTAAGCGGCCAGACCAGCGGCGGCCATGGCAAAAACACCAGCTCCTGCAGGGGCCATGGTGGCGGCGGCAGCGGCCTTTGAGCTTGTCGACGAGGCAGAGCTGCTAGCAGACTGGTCGGCAGAGGTGGTGGAGGCGTGGCTGGTAGAAGAGCTGGAAGTGGTCGTGGCGGCAGCAGTAGAAGCATCGGCCTGCTTGCTGATCTCAGCGATAGTAGGAGGGTTTTGGGTGGCGCAGAGCTTCTGGATCTTGCTCTTGCACTCATCCTGGCCATCTGCGTTGCCAGCGTTGGACTGGATGCAGCTGGAGAAGAGCTGCTGGCAGATGAAGGTGGGCAGGGTCTGGGTGTAGTACTGGAGACCAGGAGCCGAGCTGTTGGAAGCGCATGTGCAGTCGAAGGTGAGCTCAGCCTGTGACAAGACGAGTATTGATCAGCGCTTATTCCCCAGACAACGATCGATCAGCAATTGCGGATGAACCCACCTGGTTGCAGTCATTCTGGTCAGTGTTATTGTCGCAAAGGACCTGGCAAGTGTTGGTCTGGCCCTGGCACCAAACAGCTGGAAATACGAGTAGAATTAGCCACCAAAATTATCGTCAAAATTGCAGCAAGCAAACTGAGAGGGAAAACAGCGCCTCGCACAAGCCTGCCATGGGAAGCATTCCGCCGCAGAAAAAGGCAGGGAAAAAATGGCAGAAAAAAAAAACAAGAAGTCAGAATGACTTACCTCGCTGCTGCTGAGGAACAGTGTTGGGGTCAATGGTCATGTTCAGAGCGCTCTTGTAGGTCGGAACAGTCTGGGCCGAAACCGCAGTGGCGGCGAGGGCGACGAAGATGGCGGAGGATCGCATTTTCGAAGTTGTTTTGGCTGACAAACAAATCCACAGGGGTATCACGAAAAATGAGTAAGAGATGAAAAAAGGCACAGAGACCACAGCTGAGCAAACTCCAAGAACGGGGGCTGGCGAGGGCTTCAGAAAGAAGACGGGCTATTATGCTGATGCTGATGCAAATGCGGTGATGGAGTTGCAAGAAGAGGAATGGAGGTCCGGTCAAGGATTTTTTTTCTCTCTTTAGGTCAGAGGCGGGAGGGAAAGAGAAAGAAGGGCCTAAGGCGTGCCAGCTGTCAGGGCCGTCACCTAAATAAGAGAGAAGCAAGGGCGAGGCCGACGACAGCCCATGGGAAAGCGGCGACGGTTTTTCATTACCGCCAAGGACATGGGGTGAACGTGGACTTTTTTTTTCCTCTTCTATTCCTTTGTTTGTCTCTGCCGCATCCAAAGTACCGCCGCTAGCACGCAGGTACCCCAAGTACCGCAAGTACCTGCGATGCCAGCGCAGCGTCTGATAGGCTGCGAGATAGGCCAGGGCAGAAATGCCCAGGGTCGGGCCAATCACAGGCGGCGGCGGCACCACCAGCGCCGAGTTGTCCGTATCGACTAAAGATTGAGGCCAGGGGGCCTACAGTAAAAGGACCTGCAGAGGGCGGGTTTCTTGCGATGGTGGTGTGGGCTTTTTTTCGTACAGGCAGCGCGCAGCGAGGGCGAGACCGCTGGCCTCTGCGCCGTGATGGCCGCTTATACGAAAGTGGCATTTGGTTATCCTACACGAAGCTGCCACTAACGGCCTCGCGTGGCTGAAGCTCCTGCTCCGCGCAGCAAATAGGCAGTGGCTGCGCGCATCTTGATGTCATGGCGATGCCAGTAGGCTCTAGGCCGGCGGTGCTTATTTAGACTTGCACGCCAATGCCTGCGCGGTTTCACGGCGAGCTCTGGACTCTGGTCAGGCGGCCCTCTGTGCTCTGCCATGCTGCCCTTTTCTGAGAGCAGAGACGCGTCCGGCGTTGCCATGGCGGCGAGCGCAGAGCGACCTGCCTGGTGTCTTGGACTTGGGCAACAATGGAAAATGATCGTGAACCCACCCCGCTCCTCTTGGCCCAAAGCACGATGTCGTAATGGAGCTGGTCACCGCGACAGCCTATGCCGCATCCAGACCGCGCGCCAAGGTGCCGGGAGACTGTACGGAGAAGTCCCGCGGCCTAAAGGAGTACGGCGCACCTTTTAGCCTATGCTCTTGGTGCGAAAGAGTTGCGCTTCTTGAGCCAGGGGACGCATGGCATGATAAGAATGGAGGATCTGGAAGGGAACATTGAAGGGAAGTGCAATGGGGACGATTATTGGCACCAAACGGTACCGTCTCATGCTGACCATGCCCAGTATGGAGTAGCCCGGCTCGTACAGCAGATTCGGTGTCCGCGATGCTTTGGCGATGCAGAAGCCGCCGTCAGCCACCGCCTCGGCTACAGTAACACATGATGCTGCGATATGTGCGTGTAATGCGGTGTTGCAATACGACAAAAAAGAAGGTTAACCACTTCGTGCTCTGTTCCGGGCATACCAGCTGCGGCGCATGTAACCATTGGGTGGCTGCAGAGCAGCACTGAGACCTTATTCTTGTTGCTCGGCTCCCTTGGCCAGATAGCTCAGCGCATCCTGTCTCGCCCTCCCTGCTCTCAACAGAGTCAAGGCTATTTTGTTTCTCTCCCGCTGCGCAGTCGTCATACCTAGTAATCTCTTCTCAACACCACCAGTGTGTCATCGCAGAGAGGGAATATATTGACATGCGACAACATGTCACCATTATAATACCAAAGGGGGCGTTTCAGCGCGGCACCCTACCACTGCTGCCCTGGTACTGTGGTTGTATACCAGTTACGCATGATGGTCTGTCTGTTCGTCTTTGTACCGAGTAATTGAGTGCGTCGCAAGTAGACTCAAAAAGCCAATACGGCAGTCTCATTAATCTTTTGCCGCTGACACTCATTCAATCTTCATCATTTTCCCGTGATACCTTTATTTATTGGACGCCGAGTTGCCGCGCCAAAGAAAAAGAATGGAAAAAGACTTCCCTCGGCGGAAGAAAGTGGAAGCTCCCGCCACAGCACTTGTGAAGCTCCGACATGCTCGCCAATCAGCAACGCCAATTGCGCCCCGCAACTCGTGCCGACTTCCCCTGGACCACGCTTGCAGAGACTTGGCGGTACGTGACAGGGGTAAAAGGTACTTCTAGACAGCCCAGAAGATACTTTCTGCCTACGCGCAGTACCTCGACATTTTCCAAAATATGGATTCATGGGCCACTTATCGCAGGCCAGCCGATGAGACCTCCTCGATTCAGACAAGGCGGCGAGGCCACCCACGGCCACCATCACGACTCCAGACACCATCAAACAGCGCGGTGAGATCTCCCTAGCCTAGCGGGAGCTGTGTCGCTACATGCATGCGGCCGGTCGCATCAGATGTCAGTTCTGCATCGTGTGTGGCTGGGACGTTTGCTAGAACGTTGGCTGTGGCCGTGCGCCTCAACACCAACTACCAACCATCACAGCTTGCCCTTTTCTTTTCTTTTCTCCCCTCCCTTGCCATCCCTATTTGCCCCCGCCTCACAGCTGTATCTACTCGTGCGTAGCCAGCGGTGGTTTTCGGCTTCCCGTGCCGGGTCCCAATTGACAGTCGCAAATTTGCTGCGATGACTGCTGTTTCGTGCCATGCAAGCGTCGCTCGTCCCGGCACGTCAAAGCCGATAAATGGGCCTGCCTTCCCACGACCCGACTTGGCGGGCTCTGTTCACCAGTACGGGGTCCCAGATGCGGGAGGGGACATTAAAATCTCGTTTTCATAGTCTTGGAACCGAAATCTCATTAAAGAGCTCCTTTTCCTACCGTCGAAGGCTGCTGCTGGCCTCCGCTCTCCCTTTTTCGACGGACAGTCACGGGGTCAATAGTCGATGCCGACCCTTTCTTATCATTCTTACCTACCGAAAGCTTACTCTAAGATTCTAGAACATTTGTCATCTGTTAATTTCCGGCTTGCCATATAGGTACCTTTTCTACTGATGCTGGATGATACCATATCCGGGCACATCAGGCAGATGCGTGTCAGATACAGAAATTGCATGTTTTGGCTCGCAGGTCTACACTTTAGTAGCTATAGCCGGTTGCTACGTACAGGTGATGAATGGCCATGCGTTTTTAACCCTATGTTCCCAGTAATTGACCACCTGCTTGGTAAATGGTTGGCACTCCATATTGCCTCGGATCTAGGCAAGGCCTCAAATCTCTTCCAAACTTCCATCGTTGCTGCAAGATGCCGCTAGCCTCGGGCGCCAGCCGCCACAGACCCACTGTATACAAACGACGGCCACACCCGAGCTGCAGCTTGGCTCGGCGCATCGTTCGTGATGTTGGTTCGGCGTGCTGGTAGGAAATACCTGCTGTGTGTCTATATTGTGTGTATAAAATAAGCTCCGTACTCCTTCTCTAGTAAGGGTTCTGTGTTCAAGTAACTTCACACGATAATTAGATAAGTTCTGTTTTCTCTTTTGTAAACCCGCTTCTTGGGCTTGTGCACTTCACGGCTTAGTACGCTATCCGGGTGATCGCCAGGTTCAGCATCGCCAGCCCATGAGCCGATCTCTATTCAATGGTCACCTGTATCCGCACTACGGTCATCAGCTGCAACACACTTATTCTTCACATTCGTACTTTTATTTTCACCAAGCGTCTGATGTCTCCCCTTCCATTGTCAAGAGCCCCCCAAAATGCTCGCCTTGCTACAGGGTAGCCACCAGGTGCTCATGACAAGAAAGTGGCCCTGATGGCCCTGATAAGATACCGTAAAGTGCCTACCACTAACGCCATCGCCGCTAAAGCTCCCGAGCTACAGCAGGTCATGTCATCGCAAACCACTGCAGTGCACGCACTCGGACGCTGTTTCATTAGCACCTCGCTTCTCCCTTTGCCAGTCCTATCGCCATCCATCTCCCCTCGTCCACACGCTCAGAAGCTCAGCCCTCTTCTCTCATCCAGACCGGATCCCACCCAGATGCATCCCGGCGGCCCTGCCCTGCACGACTCCCCGCCTCCAGCTTACCAGACGACGCGATGAATCGGCTTCCTCCAGAGCTCATCGACGCCATCCTGCTGCAATGCGTCGCATCCGGCCCCAAGAACGCCATTCTTGGCCTCCGCCTCGTGTGTCGAGCCTTCAACCGGATCCTCAAACCCTTCGTCTGCCGCACGCTGGGGCTCGAGTTCTCTCGACTTAGCAGGACCAGCCGTCACACCCGGCCACAGATTGATGCTCTACAGACCATTGGCTACCACTGCAAGAGCCTCTATATCGACCTGATGGTTGTTCGTGATGAAAGTGAGACTTTCTTTCAAGACTTTCTTTCCCGCCATAATTTTAAACGGGAGAACCCAAGTTGACTAACTCAGTCCCAATAGTGGAAGTCGATTTCCTAAACACAGTATTTGCTCGCGTGCCCTGGATGGCAGAGTTCTGCCAGTCCCTCCAAAATCTCTACTGCATGAGCGAGTCCTCCTTTACCGAACAAGAATACTATCAGACTGTCGAGGCCCTCTTCTTCAACTGCCGAGACGTTGATCGAATGAGACTAAGTCTGCCTTTCCAGTTGGTAGGCCGTAACTGCAACGCTGCCACCATTATCCTCGCCAATACTTTCAAAGCACTGGCCTCACGCCCGGAAGAAGATTCTGCGTCAATGGAAGTCCTCGTGCTGGAAAACGTCACAGATGTCGCCATATGCCACTTGTGGATGAACCCTAGCGATGTGATGAATATCATGACTACCGTAGCCGTACTCAAGCATCTGGTGATTACCCTCCGCCGCCACGAGACAGATCCGCCCCGAGTGAGCCTCTTTGGGTCGTGCTTTTGGAACATCGTCGAGCACGCACAGCTTCTCGAAACATTGTGCATAGTAGGCATGGAGCATGACGATAGACCACCCAGAGGACTGAAGCAGACCAAGTTCTATCATACACCTGTCGACGAGTGGAGAGCACGTGTGATACCTCCCCCGCGGATAATGCTCGACAACTTGACATGCCTTGAACTGAAGCGAGTAGAGATTTCACCAGAAGTGTTCAAGCGATTTACAGAAGAGTTTGGAGCTCTGCTTGAGGAGCTGTATCTTAATGAAGTGTATCTGAAGACGGAGCGATCGCGCGACTGGAATGAGGACTCTAAAAAGGTTCTGTGGGTTGGCATCGCAAACCAGCGTCCCGAGGAAGACGATTGTTGGGTAGCCATGATGCTGCGCTGCACCATGCCAAATCTGCGAATTTGCCGAGCGTCGTTCCTTGGCTATGATCTCTACATCAGAGAAGATCTCAATACTAGCCCGGAATTTGACCTCATCGACCCATGTGGCCTTGCTCGCAGCTTATCTCAGCGCTTCGTCGAAGTCGTGATGGGTATCCGCCAACCTTTTGCGCCATCAGGCGAGCTCGTCGAGTACCTGCCGCAAGACTCCCGAGAAGACTACCTCCTCCAACGGCTCACAGAACGACCTGGCTATATAGGGGTCACAGATTATGATACCAACGCGTACCAAACTGCTGTGGAAAACACCACATCGGTATGGCAAAAGAGCCTTGATGGCGTATTTACAAACTGCAATCCGAGCACCCTAGACGAGCTGCATCACATTGCAGAGATGGCGTGCCAAGGGATGAATGAGATTCACAGGCGGCGCAATGAGCACACAGAAGGAAATAGCCTGGCAAGCGAATATACGCAAAATCTCATGACGACAGATGACCCGTCCAACCAGATACAATTTTTGACTGACGATTCGATGACCGAGTAATATACATATATCACGCCAGGCAATACTATATTCAGTAGATATAGCCTTGATTCTGCATAATATTGGCGTTACAGGCAGCAGGGTGGATTATAGGGTTCCTTCTTCTCAATTCTTCTCTTCTCATATACTGATTCAAGGCCGAAGGAACAAATTGAACCAAATTCATCAATTTGTAACAAATTTGTAACAAGATCGAATTTACGATCACTAGCATTGAAACGCTACCGCATAGTTCATTTGGTATGGCAGCAGTATGAAATACGAACCGGATGCGTAATACACTCAAGAATCTACCTAGGTACGCTTGATGCTATGCATACCTAAATCCTGTGAGAGTCGCCACAAGGGCAAGAGAGAGAAATAATAACACAAAAACCACGCGTCTAGCTTTCAAAACGTCTCATCTGGAAGAGATTTACTATACAGCTCCGCGTTCAATACACGCTTGCCGAGGAACTTATACTAGCAACAAAACGCCAACGAGGAATGCAAGTTCTATTCCAGCTTGACCGCTATCACCTCGTGTCTGGCATGAAAGGGAAACAAGGCAGCCTATTACGTTTTCATAAGCAGGGAGGCGAATTCTCACCAAAAGAGTGTCTCGGGAGTCGCGCGCGGCGTGGCATCCGCTACCGGTCCTTTGGTCGATATGTCCGAGAGGATTCGGCTTCATGTGAAACACATTTTGCGGAGAAGCTACGGTTTGCGTCCAACCCCATTGGCCTTTGACGAATGCATCGTGCATACTCCGCACATGGAAAACGCATTTAGTAAATAGCAGCAGCAATGCTAGGCAGCGAATGAAAATGTTCTAGAGCGGTGCTATACATGCTTGTACGCGTGCACAGACTCGGCAGATGCTGATCTTGTCCTTTCCGTTGCTACACTATAATAGATGACTGCAGTACGACGTATGTCTTTGCTGGAACATGTATAGGCGGTCCTCCTCTTCTTCTTCTTCTTCCTCTCTCAGCTTAAGAAAAGTTTCTCCGTGGACTTGATATACTCTCACACTCAATTGCATTAGATATTCATTCGTGACTATGCAATTCTTCAAGCTTCTCCCCTGCGTTCTGATTCCATTTGCGGCTGCTGCGCCAGCCGAGACGATTCCTGTAGCTCCGCTTGTGAGTTCCTTTCCATCTATACAATAAGAAGCCTGGCGTTGGGTTGCATCATGCTAAGAGACTGAATCAAAAGGTCACTTTATATCACGACTCCGATTGGACCGGACAGCAGTTTGATGTACGCAGCTTGAAGACTTGTGTTAAAGTCGTTGGCCCGCTGTATGTTCTTCTTAATATATACCTACTCCTTACCAACATCTTGAGTAATTTATACTAACGGAGAGAACCAAGGCATGGAAATGTGAAATCAGCAAAATTATGGCCGAATTCTCCTCCGTCTAGGCTTTGCGCTCTATTCGAGTGAGTTGACCATCAAAGAAATGATGATTCTGTCCATTTGAAAGCTAACTTTGCATGTTTCAAGATCTGATGACTGCAGACCTGGCACAGAAGTCATTTTCATCAAGGCTGGGAATGGCAAGGTCAACATCCGACACAACGATAATGTTCGATCCGTGTATTGCTTAGGTACGAAGTGATTGCCATCTCCATTAAGAATGAATGTTTCAGAGAGCTAACTTCTGTTCCACTATAGGAGCACAACGGACATATGCACGCTTTTGAGAAGATGTAGAAGAAAAAAAAAATGGCTGGTTATTATCAAGAAGATCGTTATGGCTGTGTACTTGGGTTTATGGGTTTATGAGAAATGAAGATATGATTATGAATGACGGTTGGATGTTTAGATTACTGCTTGATTACCTATAAAGAAATAGAAAGTTTTTCTAGCGCTCGAATTCTGTTATCCAGCACTCTAGCCATAGCATCCATACGTGCAAGTACATAGGTGGTAGTAGACTGCTACTACTGTTAAGTGTGTTTGACAGTTGTGTATTTTGCTAGGCAGACTGGCTGCTTTGTTAAACTACAGCTAGGGTGTTGCATAATGAAACTGGGGTGCTGGATAACTTTTGCCTAGGTAATGAAATACATGCAAGACTTGATACGGCCCAAATTTTTGACTCTTGACACAATATGGTCTATGGTAGCCCATCGAATAGAGCAGTACTGCAAGCGTTACAAAGAGTTTCGTCGCGTATTATATGTAGCGATGAATAGTAGAATTAGCTACACCTGTTCTCGCCTGCTATGTCTCAGGTGCCTGTCAATCCCCAACACCTATATAGGCTATTTGTTAATGACCCTGGTGAAACGACGTAGAATAGCAAACTTTAGAAATGCAGATCATTTTGTATAGAAATATTAATCTCGACTCCTTTTTGCGGAATAAAAGACCACGCTCTGCTGCTAAGATGTAAAGCAGCCAAGGTATGCACAGCTCGCATTCCTGTTCAACAGACATTGTCTCTGGCGCCTCCCATACCTTTCTCACAACCACGCGTTGTGTTGATGTTCGTTTTTTCCAGGCTAAAATATTGTTTTTTTTCTCTCTCTATGTAGCTACTATCATCAATACCATGTTCACTGGTTTCTGTATGGTCCCAGCGTCGTTCCCACACGACATTCTTTAAAGGGGGAACGGGCCGTGCCTGGAGCTAGGATCGGGCATTTACATGTAATCCTTCGATGGACGTTGAGAAATTTTGCTCAGATTTACTAAAAAAAAAGCAAAAACCCTCTTGAATCTTTACGGCATTAATTGATTGGAAAGTCAGGGCGGGATCAATCTTTGAATCAAGACGGACTCACGGCTTCTTTGCCAGGTTGTATGTATGCTTGCTGGTGCTAGTCTCTCACAATTCGCATCGCGATCTGATTCTGTGTAGAAAAACGGAGTTTACATCTGTAAGATGAGGAATATGTTCGTTTGCTTCCACGAAATAGGAGCCACTGAGTATTTTATTCTGCCGACGAGCCGATCTACTCCCCAGCGAGAAGCGATGGCATACCCTTTTCAGGGGCCCCATACTCATTCCTACCTGGAGAAATGTTAACATCGTATTAGCACAGCAGGAGTTGCTTATAAGTATAAAGAAATGCGCCTGTAGTATTGATAGACCCCAGTGAGGTTAGTAGGCAAGGGGACATTCTGTCGGGTGAATTAGTTAGAGTCAAATACCGGTTACATGATTCACTGTGTTTGAGATTTATGTCATATGTCTGTAGTCTACATGCGCATCTTGAACGAGATTTATTGTTTGGCGTTTGTAGCCTTTGTTTCAATTCAAACAAATTCGGTATCATTGTTCATTTTTGAGGACTACGAAGAAAAGTAATTTCCAGGAACTCGCAAAGGTGGAAATTGCCAATCAAGAGAGAGAAAAATCATAAGCCATTTAAAAGTAACGGAGCCCAGGTTGTATATATACGAAGCATTCCTGAAAGCTACCCATGGCACGGGCGGTCAAATGACATGTCTCTGAGGCCAATTCAAATCTCGATGTAGCCTTCCCGACTTTTGTCTCCATGGAACGTCTCAGAGAGAGTAAACATCTTGTGAAACATTTACAGCACATGGAAATCACAGACAGAGTATATATATACATATATATATATATCACCCACTGCCATTTTTGAGGACCTACTTTACTCCGTAATTTTGCGTATAATTCCTTATTAAGCAGTTACATATCTCACGTCCTCATATCTTATAGCCGCAAAAATGCACTTCAACCAAATCCTCCCCTGCATCCTGGTCTCTGCCACTGCGGCGGTTGCCCAATTGATCCCCGTTGGGCCAATTGTGAGTTTTTTTTTTTCTCTTTCAACAATGACGTGGATTTCATTGGTGAATGCTGCTAACAAAATGTAACATCAAGGCAACAGTCTACAGGGAACCAAACTTTCAGGGACGCCATTTCAGCGTAGGCAAAGTCGGCGAATGTGTACAGCTTCCTGACAACATGTAAGTACTCACCTCATCTTCGATCAAGCCTGAAGCCCAAACAATCATTTTTCCTTAATAACAGAAAGCTAATGAGTCTGCAGCGTCGGCAAGGTGAGCTCAGTGAAGCTGCAACAATTCCCCGAACCCTTCTACGTAGCCTGCGCTCTCTACTCGTGAGTTAAACTCCCCCCTGATTCATCATTAACTGATGTTTCTCTCTTGCGTGTTGCCCTTTCCACTGACTCTCTCATCATCGCAAAAGAAACGACTACTGCCAAGACCCAGCAGCCTCCGTCATCTGGTACGCCACGGCATTATTCACCAATGCCTACCTCCCGGATACCTCCGCTCGGTCGATTTCCTGCAAGCTGAACCAGCATCTGCCATGAAAACAACCATTGGAAATCAACACTGTACTCATGAAAAAAAAAGTGCCGCTGTAATTCTTCATGGGATGATGAGGTTAGGGGGATGATTGGCTGTATTTGCTTGGAAGGAGCGCGTGATCTTATGACCTTGAAGTCGAAAGCATGAAGTGAGCTGGTCTGGCTCAGGAGGTGGGATGCTACCCAATGATACAATTTAGTTAATTATACTTTTTTTTCTGTCATTCTAAGCCTATGGAGCGTATGGCTATACCAAGTGTTCCTTCGGGATCGCAATTCGTCTGCCGGGCAATACACGCAAGGGGGCCAAGAAGCAGAAAGTCAAATTTGCAATTTCAAACATCATCTGACCGTGTTAAATACACTAGACCTTACAATTGCATACGATCTTCATCCTTTCATCAAGCTCAATCGTCATCATGCATCGGAGAAGAAGCTGCTATTATTAAACGTCTGCCGTCCGGCAATATCACAGCCTCTACGCCAGTTCCATATCTGCAACTCGGGCACGGCTGAGGCGCCCGCTTCCTTGACGCAGAGCAACCCTGCCAAACTTTATACTTGTCGATGGAACCCGAAACAAAAAGGAAGAAGAGGGAGGGAAGCACTAACGTGCTTATGGTAAGATGGTGCAAAAAAAGAAAGTGGTGATTCCGCCCGGGCTCGAACCGGGGACCTTTTCGGTGGCGTTAAGCATATGTTAACGAAATGTCATAACCAACTAGACCACGGAACCAATCGTATTTGTTGACGAAAATGAGAAGTAACGAGATTCTTAATCCATTGAGAATGATGATAGCAAGGCAAGACGACTGAAGGCATGGACAAAGTGCCTACCATCCATTATCCGGATTACGTCCAAGACAAGGAGAAATGCACCTTTAGACAAGTGCCTCCATCTTCCTTGTTCTTCTCTAGCCTAGGCAGCCCGTAGCCTGGTCCGGGGACACTCTGCTCATTCGCGCTGTAGAGATGCGCATAATGCATACTCATCTGGCTGCCGGACCATCTCCAGGCACTAACACGCCTTGGCTTCGGAGGTGGCTTACACAAGGGCCGCCGAAGAGCTGGTGCGCCTTGCTTGGTCGGCGATGACTACTCGATAGCTGCTTTTCTTTTCGCTTCTTCAAGTGATCATCCGGGCCCAAAGGAGGGGCATACGTAGGCCCGAGTTCGATTAGCTGTGGCTGGTGCGGAGCTGAAATGCAGATTGCTCTGACCAGCCCACCTACTCGTTTCTTGGTAGGTTGTGTTAGTCGACTGTTGACGCCGCTGTCAAGTCCGTTCGTTCTACAGCACGGCCGCAGACATCAATGGGAGTAGTAGGTATCAGCGCGAGCGGACTAAGAGAGAGGCTCGGAGTCTTGAATCCCGCCGGGCAGAGAGTCAAAAGGGCGAATCAGAGCGTAGCCTGTTGTTGTTTCGTGCCAAATGCCGCGATGTAACTCCAGACTGAAAAGGCTATACGTGCGTCCGTTCATCGGCTTTGGAGGTCCACGCCAGTTGACAAAGCATGCCTCTCGTGCATATATCTAGCAATTCCTGTCAGCATCTTCGTTTCGCTTCGATGGCCTAACCTTACAAGGAAGCGCAAGGCGATCAATCATACAAGTAAACCGCTCTCTTACATATCCTCCAAAACACTAGCCCACGATCGTGCATATGGACCAGCATGTAAGTGGTGCCAACGTGGCAATTCCTTCACAAGCGTCAGATTCCTTCCAGGTATGAAACAAACCTGCTGGAGCTCAGTGCTTATTATCTACGTGCATGGGCTCTCGCCATCGCCAGCCAATGGTGAGCTCAATTCCAGCCTCCAAGGCTCCGTCAACACGGCTGTTGCACGCACACACTTCCATAGCTGCACTAGGGCTGCTTCATCGTCCCGCGTTGCCGACGATGTATAAGAGTGCTGTGATTGGATTGTGGCCTATGTATAGTACGCTTGGATCAAGTGTTTGGGCGTCGAATAGCATTATTGCATTAGCACAATCTCCCCCGCTTGTTCTTTGTGAGCTCCGAAGGATCATTAGCTGGCGGAGAAGGCGTGCTTCGTGTCGGCCGAGTCTTCTTCGTGGCGTCTGCATTCTGATTCTTACAGCTAGCCTTGTTGGCCGTCATCTGGCACAAATACATCTGCGAGCCAAAATTCCGAGTGTAAGGCACACGGCCCCGATTGGAGCCCAAGGAGGAGCGTCACACAACAGCAGCGAGTAGATTAGAGGAGAATAGCCGGTCCGAGTACCACCTCTTGAACTGTAGCCTGTGCTGTGCTCTTGAGACATTAAGCTCACCACATTGTGTACATATACACAAAGTACACAGCATCTTCGTGAGCCAAGCCCGATGGAAACAGCCGCGTCGCACCGTCCCATATGTCAAGTGGACGGGCGCAACAGATACATCAATCATGCCCCGCAGATATAATATCCGCGCAGCTTGGTCTTCCCACTTTTACAGCAGGACTGCTCGTCCGTACATACGGATGGAGTACTATCTTTACTCCAATATAATCGGTATGTAGTAGTAGCAGCAGCAGCAGTAGTAGCAGCAGCAGCAGTAGCAGTAGCAGTACCAGTAGCAAAAGCAGCAGTCAGCGAGATTGCTTCGTATGCCGTCTACACGCGGCACTTCGGGTCACCAGTCAAGGTCAAGAGGAAGCGAAATCGATGACGAGACAAAGAGTTTCACCTTGAGCTCTTTTAGCAAGTCTCCCGACGCAGCCGTGGGGGCAGGCATTATGCGGGCGTTAGTAGCGAGTGAGTCTATCAACATGAGACTGTACTTGTATGCCCTCCCTAATGTTTTTTTTTAACGTGCTCAAGGGAACCACGGTGAATAAAAATAGAATCAGTGCCTGTACTGTACAAACTCGGTCGTAGTGCTGATGGAGCGTCTTTAGCTCGTGAGCGGTAGATACCCTCTTATTGGTAAGAGTCAAATCTGATCCAGCTTAATCCATCAACGGCTTCCTGGGCTATACATACTCAAGGACACATGTACCTGCTACAGTAACAGCAGGAATTGTGTATACCTGTGCCCCGTATCTTGGTTTCAAATCATCGGAACTGCTGCGAGCACTGTCACTAATAAACGGAATACCACTCGGCAGATCTCTCTTGTCTGTTTAACCGCTTCATCCGCTGATTTAGTGGCATTGCTATTCTGTTTTTCCCGCCGCCCCGCAGATCTGATTGGACATGTAGGAGCAAGACGGCGTAGCAGGTGTGGATGGTGCGGGACAGGAGGAAGCAGTTTAATTAAACTCCCAGCACACACTCCAAACGAGTCTTGGCTTATCAGGCTGCACTGTGGCTGACCGTCCAAAGAGATGGATGATAAAATGACCATTTAGCCACAATTTGTGAAGTTGAGGTGGGTAGCAGCGCCGAGTGCTACGTACTCATGCATATCATCACGCTTCCAAAACTCTCCTTCAGCTCTGCACGCCTAAGAAGCGGGAGGAGGCAGTGGCACGAGCTAGCTGTGGCTTGAGCCATCCCTCCGCCTGGTGCAAATACTCGCTTGATAAGTTGCGTGTTGAAGCAAGGATCAATTAGGCGTCCCTTGCAGACCATGGCGCACGAAAGTGTTGAGGAGTGTGCGTAAGGTGCTGTGTGCGAGCCCTACTTGTACTTGCACTAATCTTCACCGTCGTGACGACATCGGGAAGCGTTGCAAATCAAAGCAAGGGAGAGTAAACGAAAGAAAGAAGATGGAATCTCGCTAGAATGAGCGGTGAGCGATGCAAGATTGGTTTTGACTCTTCCATTCATGCGTTTTATCGCGCCCCCTTTTCACTTCTTTTTTTAGTGATTTCTCTCGTTCGCATACTATTATTCACTGTCCCCGTCAGTGTCAATACTTCTCCACACGTGTATATAGGCCCCTGGACGGAAAAGAAGACACAAAGAGGGTCGACAGAAGGTGAAACGAAACAGTGCCAGTCGTGGCAAGCATGGCACATGATCCATGGAGCAGGGGTTGACAAAGACGCTAGAAGAGGGTTCCTGGCCATAGTACGGTGGAGAAGCGGAGTCTCCCCTTGTTCAGCAAAGTCTCGCCTAGTTTCGATCGCTCAAGCCACTTGGCGATGGACGGCCTCTCCCGTGATGAGCCAGCTCCACGCGGAATGGGAGGCCAGAGTCGCAGCCAGATGAGCCGGATACTATCACTCTGCAAGCGCAGCATCTCGCTTGCTGGACACGATGATCACTGCCTGCAAGACACACATCGGCTAAGAGAGTGATACAGAGCAGATGCGTATGAAGTAGGCCTAGATAATGTCCGAAACAAGCCGGGTGTCCAGTGGCAGCTATCTACTTGTAAGATGAGGACTGTGTCTAAATGCTCTGCTGAGCTCATCGAAAACGTGCCCGGGCAGGCGGTCGATTTCCCCATCTTGGACTGGGCGTGGCGAGCATAAGTGACATCTCGGCCGATGTAATCACACCCGGAGATGAATGCTTCTTGGAATCTACTCGTACTCCTGTATACGAGACGAGGCATTCTAGTCCAGCACTAGAGATAGGTTTTGAGCGCGCCGAACCTTTCTATCACAGCTGTGTGGTAGGTAAAAGCAGAGTTAGTATCTGCTAGTGCTCCCTCCTGAGGGATAGTCTTCTCTGGAGGACATCTTGAACTGATCGCCGGGAATATCAGCCGTAGCGCTCACAAATATTGGGGATAGCTGCTGATAATACCCCATAGCAGCAGTGGCTATAACACCACCATTACGGAATCCAAGCAGTAGGATTGCGCTTGTGCGGAGTAGTTTGTAATGAGTTACCAGCTCTCACTAGTGGGCGGTTCTTTGAACCACTTGGATAACGGATACAGACGCGCCAGGATCCGGGAGCAGCTTAGCCGTGAACGGTGGTTGCGGTGATGGGCGCCATTGATGCTGTGGCTTTTGTGTTGCTCTCAAATTGCTGGGCAAGACTTTTTGAAAGATACGACAGCAGGCGAGCCGGCCGCTCTCTACTGCTCTGAAAGGAAAGGCTGGATCTGCCAATATGGAAGCTAGAGTTATTGCGCCGAAGCAAGAGAGGTGGCGGAGCGTGTCTATCGATCTAGGCACGAGACATGAGTGCTTAGCACGAACCGCCAAGACGACGGCGAGAAGCAGAGGCCATCAATTAGGCGTTCAACCCTCGGTCTTCTCGGTGACTTTTTTTTTGTCTCTTCGTTTCTTTTTTTGATGGAAGAACAAAGTTCTTGTTGTCTGGTGGGGACGTTCCCTTCCCATGGGGTCCAACGGCGCTATGGAGGAGCCCCGATGCAAGGAGAGGAATAGGCGAGCAAGCGAGCGAGATGCGGCTGAGGTATGGGTACTCTGTAGACGCAAGTCATTCAGTCTAAAAGTAGCACATGAGCAACAAAGTTTGAACTCAAATCAGCTTTCACAGATGGTAGTGATGGTAGTGATGGTATTGACCACAGTAGGTGGCCGTATAACAGCTTTACTCCAAAGCCAGGGGTGTACATTGTGGAAATGAGCATGGCCGATATGGAGACACTTTGGCATTTTCCAGCCTGCACAGAACCAGGTTCTGTACAGGCACCAGGCCGAGACTCGTCCAGGAGCAGTCGTATGCCAATGGTTCCATGGTTCCTTATCTGACGGGGGAGGCCAGAGGAGCAATGGCCTCAGACGCATCAGTGCTGTATAGTTGACTTGTCAGGTCCTTGAAATAGCAAAGACCTGCCGCGTCTCTACCTATCACTGCTTCCACGAGAATGTGACCAGCAGTAGCGCATCGCACGGCTTACATGACATAATCTCCATCTGATCCGTGCTCTCTTCTTTGCCCGCAGCCTGCTTGAGCTGCAGGCGAGCCGAGGCGCTTGAGAGACTCATTGGAATCAAGGCCGCAGCTTTGTAAGAGCCACTAGAAATGTACTTGTTCAGTATGGCATTGCTTCTGGGCCCAACGTACGTTTGCAGTTGTTTGATCCCGAACTTGCCGGCCGTGATGGCAAGTTGGAAAAGAGCAGTGCATGTTTTGTGTGCCTGGATATGCTTTTCTGCCCTGTCAGGCTGCGCTCACCGCCTGAGAGGCGAGACCTCGACCCCAGATAGCGCCAATGCAAGTCTGAACTGATTTGGGCGACCGAAGAACTCCGATCAGACTCAGACCTGTTTGCTGGCGGAAGATCGGATGCCCTTGCAGGCCAGCACAGGTCTGAATCCCGTACGTACAGTCGAAGTCACACTGCGCGGAATTCCTGTAAGCGCGAGGCATCACCTGCTGCAGCGTGTATTAACGCAGACGCCACCAATGCTGGGGGGTGTCATGGCGGCACAAGTAGGTACCTCCCACAGTAATACGAAGCGGTACTCAATAGTTTGTAGGTGTTGGGTAGCAGTGAAGGCAGTAGTGCTAACCGCATGCAAGGCTTTTACCTGGACGCAACGATGCAAGGGGCGACAATATTGGCCTCACCTACCAAAGGACCGAGAAGCGGCTCGACAGCGCATTGGCCGAAGCGAACTGCCGCGAATGCACCTTTTGTCTGATATCTTGGACCTCTGTATGAAGCTCTTGGGCAAACGTGGAACGAGCTACGAGGTCAATTGGCCTTGCAAATGGCGAAAATCGCCTTCTCTCGAGACGGTCGCGCTCTCTATTTGAGGCAAGGTGTAGTCCAAAGCCTTTAGTCAGAATAGGCATCGCGAGTGCTGCCGCCACTGCCAAAGCCGTACTAGTCGAGCTACTGCTGCTACAGTACAAAGATTTCCTCGCAGATTCAGAGTCGCGGCAAAGCTGTCGCCCAGAGAAATATCCCGGCTGTCCTGCTCTTTTTGGGGCTGGCCATCCGAGGCGCGCCATGGTTGATTGCCCCCAATGCTACTCTCCCGAGCACCGCGTGCAGACGTCAGACACGATACCTGGACGTGCAACTACCGGCTAGATATGAGTGAGATTCTGTGCCTGGTTCCTGGCTGCTGCTCAAACTCCGTGCTCCGGACTGTAGCTCCGTGGGTCCCGCCCATTTGCTAGTAGCGGGAGACACTAGAGTATGGAGCAGAATGAGAAGAGCAGTGTACAAGAGAGATGAATGGGTGAGTGAGTGACCAGGCCGCCTTGCTTGCTTGCGTTGTTGGAATGTGCTGCCTAGAGATAAAGGCAAGCCGAAAAGATTTCTGTCCAACAGGCAAAAAGTTTGTGCCAATCAGCCACTCAATCAGTGGAAAAATCTATCACCCATACATTCAGTCAATCGAGCAATCAATCAAGCAATCAATCTGAGAAAACTTTCCCCTCTCGCTTTGCGACCTCCGCGTGGCGTTGGCGGAATCCAACGGCCATTCAGAGATCGGCCACACTCAACCGCTCAATGGCCAACCACAAGCCACAACCGCACCCCTCGCCGCAGACAGGTCCCATTCGAGTCAGGCTTGTGCCGTAGTGCCAGAGACACGTCTGCGGGATGCGCCACGTTTCCCTGCTGGCGTTTCTTTGCCCAGCTGCCCAGGCCAGGGTCGCAATTGGCGGCGTGATTAGTCCAGTATGTGGACTCGGCAGCTTTTTTTCTCTCCCTCCCCAGCTCTGGAGACCACCCCCACAGCCAACCCCTTGATCATCCCCCGAAAGGGAGGCACCTGATGGAGACGAGGTTGCTGGAGTTGGAGTTGCCAGAAGAGCTGCTGCCAGGCGAGCAGGCTTGAATGAGAGTATTTGCCGTGCACCCACCACACCCATTTCTGGTGAGAGCTACCTCCATACGGCACATGCGCCTTTCTTACGAGGTCTCGCTTGCGAGCAGTTGGTCACACTAGCAATCCATTTACGGCGTCACTCTCGCATTGATGCCGTATTGTCGCTGCTAGCAGCTGCAGCTATTGCTTCGTCACCTCATTGTTCAGTCCGTCCGGGCCATGCTTCGTCACAACAGGAACCATCACGACAAGCAGGTACATCGTTTGCACCACGACTACTGCCTTGTCCATACCTCATTCGGCGTAGTCTCACGGAGCAATATTTTGTTCTTTTACAACAAATTCACCGTGAGCTCTTGAGCTGTTTTGCATTGAACCAGGGTTGACGGGTGGATCGCAAGTGGGCTCCTCGCTCACACCCCTGGACCCTTCGCCTACAGGTACACACGCCTTGACACCATCAACAGATGCCGTCTCCAGTTGAGTGCATACATAGCCTCCGTATATACGGAGGAGAAGTGGTACCTACAACAAGAAGGTATTGATACCACCACTGCCGGTACTGGATTTTACGCCTGCATGCGGCTCCGTAAACCTGCACTTGCTATAACGCACTTGTATAGTACTAGTACTAGTAGTATTAGTATCCCATCCAGCCCTCTTCTTACCACATCCCGCCTCTCACTTCTGCTTCCATAGGGCGAGCTTATGTACTTGGGTGCTGCTGCTTCCAAGTACTCGCTCTTTGTTTGGGCTTAACAGGGTTGGAATATGATTCACAGGCCTTGAGTGTAAGTTGATCATCTACCAGGTTTACACTGCATAACTCCTCCTTCATTCGATTTTTTTCAGGGGCCCTGGGAGAATTATAAACGACCAGGGCAATAAAGAGAAAAAAAAGACTAATCAGTGGGCACCAGTTGCCATTCGCTTCTTCTTTTTCCTTTCTTCACCTTGTTCTAGTTCTTTCATCTACTACAAGGAGGAGGACACCGATCGCTTTTTCGTTTATCAATCTCAACAAAGCTTGTTTCTCTCTATGGCTGTGCGCCACATCGACTACAATCGCTCATATACTCGACGCAGTTCTTGCATCTGGAAGGAATCTTGGTCGGACAAGGACTGTGGTCGAACTCCAAGTGAATGTCGTTGAAAAGGATTTTTCGATTAAAAAGAACGACATTTCAAACATTTTCAATTTTTTCCAAAACCACCATAAACAAAGAAAGAGAAGACGTCAAAGAAGGAGATCCATGATATACCGAGTCGTCCGAATGGCTTTGTGATACCGGCACTTCAGCGCCTTTTTCATTCAACCTTCCGGCCCTGTCTATTTCCCTTTACTTAGTCTCGTCGTACACACGCCACGAGGCAGACAGTATGGCTGGCCTATCTTCTTCGCACGAAACACTCATCATTGTCCTGACTACAACTATCCCGTCTATCCTTCTTATCGCCTTGGCCGTCTTTGTATATCACCGAATTCGAATACGCAGAGCTCGGTTTCGCAACAGGGGGATCACGCCAATTGACGACGAGGAGATTGAATCTTGGAAAATTGATCGGACGCGGAGTGTTGACGCCGAGGAGAAGCTTCCCGGTACACCGAAATCAGCTATCAGCGAGCTAAGACCGGCTCACCAATCTCACCATACAAATACGTCCCTTGGTTCTGTAAAGTCATCCAGTGTTATTGTCTATCAAAGCCGAGTCTCCGAAGAACAACTCCCGTTTTCCCCCGTCCACACAAAGCAGAGCATCGATATCCCGCCAACACCAGTTCTTGCGCGAGCGCCAAACTCTCGACCAGGCCTGACAGACGAAACAGTCCGGGGAGACAATGCTTACGTCAATATCAAGCGAACTCCCTCGACGCGCCTGACCAAGACCAATCCTCCTCGTCATGCACGGACGAAAAGCGCTCGCAGTACGCGAAGCAGTTTCGGTGCCAATACCAGACGGGAGCAATGGTACAGCCAGACTCCAGAGCAGAACTCCCCTCGACAATCTGCCGACATATATTCCAAATCCACGCCGGCATCCCGCAGAGCGACTATTTCGACTCCTACCACTCGACAGGGCTTTCGGGATGACGAGGTGCCCTTGACTGGCTTGACACCACGACCACCGGTGGTGCACAGTTCTGATATTGGGCGTGCTATAGGATGAGCACCTTTGGCAACCTACCTACCTATTTTATAACTCTTGTTGTGAGACATGTTCAGTGTACAAACTGAGCAAGGCTCACGGCAGTGAGTAAGTTTCCATACTGCCTTGCCTCACTCGCCGCAGTGGACGAGGCAGTAGAAATATACGTTTTGACAGCCACTTCCATGAAGAATGTGGCCATTTATTCTTCACTCACACTTCTTGAGCGGAATGAAACATGTCCATGAATCATGACAGACTCATGGTACTTTTCTTTCCGGCACACACGTTTTTTCTCTCATCAACATGAATTATTCCGTACCCTTCCTATTCATTTTCGCATAGCGGGTGTTATCACTCCTGCGGAGGATTCGTATGCCAGGCACCTTTTAGTCGCTTCAATGGTAAGCGACGAATGAATGCAGGCTGGAGCCCTGATTCTCTCCTTTTTTCATTTTATTTGATAGTAGTATGATTTATTTGATATATACGACGGATATACCCCCATGTTTTTTTTATTTTATTTTTATTTTTCTATCATTCATGTATCATGAGCAGGCGCCTATCACTGCCATGAAGGTTTTTTATTTTATTTCTCATCTTTTTTGAAGATTTTGAATTGAATACTGAAATTGACTCCAGAATGGCATGAAGCCATCATTGTATTGTGGCGTGGATGTTGTGGAAATTTGCAGCAATCATCCCTTTGTTAAGCTGAGCGGCGATGAGAGGAGCTAGGGATGTCTATAGGGAGGGGGTTTAAAAAAAAAATGAGAGGACAGATAAACTGCCATATCCAAATTGAACTCTCTAAGCGAGATCAGTTACCCATCTACAAGAGCATTCGAATTGTAACGTTTGGTGTTTCTCGAGATTGATTGCCGAGAGATAAGTACCGTCTACCTAGCGAGGCGCAGCCCGCACCGCGCAATTAGCCGACCTCCGCAGTAGAGGGTACCTGTTCCTGTGCGTCCCGCAGCCAGCAAGAAAACCACTTAACGCGCGCCACGGCGGGGGACAGAAAACGCGTCCAGCACGTTCTTTTTCCTCTTCTACCCCATAATCTGGACAGCCGCCTTGGACATTTATATCCAAAGAAGCTTCACGAGCATCAACCGCGCTCCTTTACTCAATTTTGAGCGAATCCCGCCCTGCTATAACCCTCGTTTCCTGCACCCTGGCCTTAGTATCTTACCTAATTCCGAATGTGGTTCTGCTAGCCTTTCAGAAGCCATCGATTGCGGACTAGGGAGAAAAAAGCACGTAGCAGGACAGAACCTCGCTCGCTCTCCGTGCCCAATTGGTCTCGATTGCACCGTTCGCTGGCTTTGCTTGATAACGCTGCGTTTGAGCCGGATCGAGTGTTGATCCTAGTTTGAGTCTGAGTCTGAGTCGATTCGAGGCTGTTCCACGGGGGCTAATACGGGGTCATTCTCACTTGGGCTCTCGCTGTCTTTTCTCTCCTTCTCATCTATTCTCTTAATCTTCCCATTGCTCTCATTGCCATTCTATTCAGTCTCTCATCACTCTACATAGAGAGAGATTTTTGGGAAGAGATATATAGCATCTTGCTTCTGTTCCTTTTCTCCGCCAGACTTTCTTCACGGGCGATACCTTGACTTCTATACTTATATATCCACATACTCTCATCTAGCTGCCCTGTCTATTTCACTCCACCTCACAACCTCACAACCTCTCCATCACTCTACACGGAACTTTTGGCTTCTCTCACGTTATAATCTGCATACATCAGCCATCATCTAAACAGAATAAAGATGCCTCCCCGCAAGTCCGACGTCAGGGCATCCACCCCCATTGCCGCCGAGGAGACCTCTCCTCCAGCTAAACCCCAGCAGGAGAAAAAGGACAAAGATAAGGAAAAGGAAAAGGATGCCCAAAAGGCAAAAGGAGAGGATGCCATAACAATTGAGGTATGTGTGCATCATTCAGCGGCTGTCAAAATAAAAATCAACAAGAGAGAAAGCTAATCTTTGCTTTTTCCAGGACTTGAATCTCCCCAAATCAATAATCACAAGACTGGCAAAGGGTACCCTGCCACCCAACACGCAGATCCAGGGGAATGCGATTCTGGCGCTGAGCAAGAGCGCCACTGTCTTTATCAGCTACCTAGCTTCACAGTATGTTTTGTCTAAAAAATCTTCAAATCACCTGTTATGGTGATTTTGGGCCCCTGTTCTTCACAAATGAGGAACATCACAAGCCACCATATATACACTCCCAAATTCGAACAAACGCTAAGCACAATCACACGCATCACAGCGCCAATGAAAATACCGTTGCCGCAGGCAAAAAGACCATTTCCCCGGCCGACGTTTTCAAGGCATTAGATGACACCGAGTTTTCTTTTCTGAAAGAGTCTCTCGAGGCCGAATTTGCTAGTATGTCCTGCCGCACAAAGTTCTCTCCTCCTCCTGGCATACCCCCCTTTTTTTTCCTTTTTCATTCTCTGACCTTGTTAATTCCTTACAGAATTCACCGCCCTACAAGCCGAAAAGCGCACGACCTACCGCCAAAAGGTCCGCCCCCCCAAGTCCGGCTCCGCCGAGGGCGGCGGCGACGATACCGAGATGGCCGACACGGCCGCAGCCTCAGAAGAGGCATCTGCTTCGTCCGGCCCCCGCGCCAAAAAGGCTCGCGTTGATCCCTCTGCCGCAGCCGTAGAAGACGAAGAAATCGATGCGATTGTTGATGATGATGAAGTCGAAGAGGATGACGATGACGGGGACGAAGAAGAAGCCCACGATGACGATGATGGCGAGGAGGATGAGGAGGCCGGTGAGGAAGACGACGATGAGGAGCGTGATGTTAGTGGTGATGAGACGCAGGATGCGCTGGAGGAGAGGAGGAGTAAAGATGATGCGGAGGATGAGGCCTTGGAGGGAGATGAGAGTGATTAAATGATTGTTTTTGTATTTGAGCGAAGAAAGGAGTTAAGAAGAGAATCTCTGTTTGTTTCCAATGTCCGGTACTAAATATGCTTGCTGTGATCACATACCTATTTTAGCACTGTTCTCGCCAAAGATTCACAGGTAAATGATAAGAATCATAGAACCCGGTAATTCCTCCATCTCTTATACACAAGTTAAGCGATATCACGGTTAACGTCACAGCTTAAAGCATATATCCTAAACTGATGAAATGAAGATTTGTATAAAACAAACCAAAAGCATCACAATGACCACTCTGTAAGCAGGAGTGGATTTTAAGAAAATACGCACATATGTAAAACATAGACCGCGAGAACATACAAGTGGGAAACAGAATATCCAGGCATCGCCAACAAGGGGAAAAAGGACTCATCACAACATACTCTTCTCTTGCTTGAATAACTTGAACTTCCATTCCCATTATTATTATTTTTTCCCTTCCATCCAAAGCGTGGACCAGACCAACCTTGTTCTACGCGAAATTAAAGAAAACCCCAGGATAAAAGAGCAGAGGAGATAGGGAAGAAGAATAAAAAAAAAAAAAAAAATCCAATTTCCATAATGGGGGGGACAGAAAATCCCAAGAACAATTTCCTTCGTGTGCGACTGCCCTCCTCACTTTCCTTCTTACCAGTGATGCTGACCTTTACTGTCACTTCGCTAGTCATCCTTCAAAAACAAGGAGGAAAAAAATTATCCCATGATTAGAAAGCAAAGCAAATAACATTCCACGTAGCAGAAGACATAACATCAAATCAGCCATCCATCCGAGCACGAATCACAACGCAGTAAAATTTCCCTACCTACTTTCAAGTTATGAACCCGCTCTCAGGTAATTAGAGCAACATTAGACAAAGGACACTCGAAAAAAAAAAAACATTCAGCATTGGAAGACATTTAGAGTTCAACAAAAAAAAGAACATTCTCAATTTCTCTCTCATAATTGCGTTCGACGACTAAAGCAAACCGAGTGGTATCAACATCAACAACGCAAAAACATGCCCCGCCAAAACATGAGAATTAGCCCTGAAGAGATGCCTGCCAAAGTAAGGAGTTCTCTCCCCTTTCGTGAATACCATAAACAAACGCACACATACACATACATATGAAATCCTCGCCCGGATAACATATCCTGGACACTTAAAGAAAATAACAAATCGGCCGTTAAGTAAACATGAACAAGGAGACAAAAAAAGCTATTCGACAGTCATAGCCAAATGAAGTAAGTGTGGCGTAGAGGTTTATTGTAAAACCACTGGCCAAAGAAGAAGATGGCGAAAATCGTAAGCGAAAGAAAGAAAGGGGGCAAAAAAGAAAGGGAACCAAAGAGAAGTAAAAAAAAAAAAAAAAAAAAGATACATCCCCCCCGATCTCCCCCCCGACTCCTTTATCCTTGCCTAGATCAGATGCTGCACATCGTTTCCAAATAAATGAGCCGCTGACCCAGAAAAAGCAAAAAGCCGCTCCAACCAACCTGTATGCTTGGGGTATCTGGAATACTGCAGGAGCTCGGTCCCAGAAGATGATGGATAAAAAAAAAAAAGCCGAAAGAACTAGCCAGTTCTTCAAACTAGAAGGTGCATGAAAGACAGCAGCAGTAGCAAGCAGCAAGAACAAGTAGCGCAGTAACATTTCGTATCTTAATGACCACAACGTGCGCATGTTAAAAAAGGGCCGCTTTACAATGGCTGCACGAGCAGCGTATTTATTGTTGCTGCTGTGTCCACCATTGTTGGGGCTGTGAGTGTTGTTGGCCTGACCATGCTTGTTGCGAGGCCGACTGCGCACTTGGCGTAGTTTGGGGCAGGTATTGACGCGGAGTCTGGTCAGCGGTATACATGCCCTGGCCTGCGCTGTACTGCATGCTTCCCATGCCTGAGAATTGCATGCCGGGTTGCATCTGGCCGGCCCCAGTTTGGCGAAGGTGAGAGGCCGGAGACTGGGAAGGATGCTGGGGCTGGGGCTGCGTCGTGTAGCTGCTGTAGCTGGTTTGTGCCGTCGGGGGGCTCTGGGACCACATGGCTTGGCTTGGTTGTTGGTAGCTGTAGCCGGCGGTTGAAGGATTCAGGGCACCAGTAGAACCTGCAGCAGGTGTTGGTTCACGAATACTCAGTTTGGTGGTTAAAGGCAAAGGGGCCATACCTCTAATAGGAGCCTGACCGAGCGCACTCTGTGCATTGATAGACTGCGAGTAAGGGGCTGCCGTCATCATCATCTGCGGGCTCTGCGATGATACAACACCGGGCTGAGCTATGCCGGCGGCAGTGGTATGAGGAGAATTCGACGGCCGACTGGTGGGAATGGATGCGTCGGCAGGCGCAGCAACAGGTTGCTGAGCGAGAGCGGGCTGAGCGGGTTGCTCGTGGGGTTGACGCCATATCCGCTGAAGGTAGTTGTCACGCATGTCACGTTGCTGGTTGACGGATCGGTTGTAGTCGGCTGCGTGGTTGGCCTGCGAGTGGATTTCCATCAGGGGAGAAGGCCTGGTCTGGTCTTGGTACGGGGGTCCGGTAATCTCCTGTCGAGGGCCGCCCTTGACGATGCCGCCGTAGTCCCGGGATCTGTTATCACTGAGGTCTGGTCCAATAGTTAATGCCGGCATTCTTGTGGCGTTTCCAGGTGCTCCTATCATACCTGGAACGAGATGAGTCTGAGGCGCACCAGGGTATGGCCCAGGCGTGTTGTTATACACAATCTCGGTGTGCGGGTTGCCCATCAAGACGTTGTTCTGCGCTGCTGCTTCCGCAGCCTCTCTGGCCTTGGCGGCTCCGGGTCGCTTCTCCCCGGCGGGATCAGCCTCGGTAAAGCCCTGCTTGCGGGCCTTGGTCTCCCAGTAGTCGTCTCGGACGCGGCGGCCGTTTTCGATGACGCGGCTTCCAAACTGTCGGAACATGGAGCGGGCAGTAACAATGGCAATCTGTCTCGACCGGTACGAGAAAGGCAGGATTTCCTGCTGGACAAGGTCGTCCTTTTCGGCCTGGCTCGCGATAATCTTGTACAGCGACCTGTTCTTGTTAAACAGGAGGTACGAATCCCGGTATCCCAGTACTCGCGCGCACTCGGTGGCCAGCATGAACAGTTTGTCGCCGCGGTTTGGAACTAGAAATGTGCGGCATCGATATTGGCGGTTGCCAAGAAGCGCACCGTTGGGCATCACCTTCTTCTCGCCGAATTCGTCGGTCTCACGTGGGATGTACTCATCGCCTGTCGCGTTGAGCTGATCGGTGGTATGGTCTCGCACCGTGGGCAGAGCCTTGAGAGTCGTCTTTGTCGGCGTCGTCTTGGGAGGCATTTGCGCTTGGGGGGCCGAGTAGGCTGGCGCTGCCTGAGTGGGCATCGCAGGATTCTGAGACTGCGGCGCCTGCGGCGGTGGGATGGCCTGAGGCACAGGTCCGCCAGGCGCTTGCCCGGGGCCTTCAGAGATGCTGCCTGTCGCTCGGGCCTTCATTGGTCTTGATCGTTTTGGTTGAAATTGGCGATTGCCTAGGAAGAAAAAGACTCTTGGTCAGCGTTGACATCCTCTAACACAGCATGAAAAAAAAATTATCAATATCTCGTCGCATCGTTCCTGGCTCCAGTCCCTGGCTCAGAAAAGGTCATGAATTTGCGCAGCGTCGCACAGAGTAGGATGTAACATGTAGAGCATATCCGCAAGGTCTGTGAAACGCGGCGCCAGAGTCCGAGCTACACAAGATCTATCGCCGACATACCGTCATCGCCAGGCCGGTAAGAGTCGAGGGGATCCGGGGACCGATTGCGCTTGACGCCCCGCAGAGGCGCGATAGCGAGGTCTATGAGGTCGGCGGGTCAGCACTACGAAGGCTCGAACAAAAAGAGCTTGCATGAGGGGCACAAGGCATCGCGAAAGAGATTATGGGATAAAAGCGATTATGCGCAAAGAATGAGATGAGGCATGTGTTGGGTGTTGTTTTTTTCGCTTCGGGTTTTTTTTGTAAGGCGGCGCGTGCCGTCAAGATCCGGCGGGGGAGGGGACATGATAAAAGGATCGGGATGGAGGGGCAGCGACATTGACAAGGAATTATATGCGATGCGATGAGGAATGAAGAACTCACCAGAGTTGAGGGCGGCGGGATTGATTGTCGCACCGTCGGCGCCTGTTGGTTGTGCGGAGTACATGGCAAGAAATCCAAGCCAGCAGCGACGGTGGCGGCAGCAACAACGGCGGCGGCGACGTGTCGTGAAATAGTTGGGCTGGCGAAGTTCCGAGGATGGACGAGGTGCAGAAAGAACAAGCTCGACCTGCAGGTGGTTGGCTTCCATGGGGGCGTGGAAGGGTGTGGCGGGCAGGCCCAGCGAGATGGACAGACGGGCAGCGGCGACGAGAGCAGCGCGACGACCAGGTGTAGGAGCGTGGTGTCGCCCGAGTGCGGCGCAACACAACCAGAGGCCAGGGCGGCTGCTTCAGAGCTACCACGCTGGAGCGTAGATCAACATCTCGAGGCAGGGCGACGAGGCGATTGACGAGCTGGCCATGGCTGCGCAGCGAGAAGCCGGGCACGCAGACGCATGGTGGGCGACGATGCTGGATCCTGAAAAGGCCGCAGGGCTTGACGGGAGAGAGAAAGGAAATGGGACGAAGTTTTGCTTCTTCGGTGGGCTATTGTTACCTTGTTCTTTGCACTTTGCACTTTGCACTTTGCACTTTGCACTTTGCACTTTGGGTGCAGCAAGCAGATGGGCAAGGGGCGCGACGCGTGTGCAACAGCAGCGACGATGATGGCGCACGGCGGCAGTCAGGAAACACGAGCGGCGATCGACTTTTGTCTGGCGACGAGCGCGTGTCTGCGAGTCTGGGCGCAGCGAGGCAATCGGCGATGGTTGGAAGCAGCGCGACTCGACTCTTCTGTGGTGGAGACGCTTCTTTTTTCAGTTTCTGGTCCGCGAAAGCGCAGCGAAGCTCAGGGCAGGCCGTAGCGCAGCGTAGTGTAGTGCGGGATGCAGCAAGGCACGGCGCAGGCAGAGCAAAGAGGCGCAAAGGTCGAGCAGCTGGGGACCTTGTGCCGGATGTGGGCGCGATGAGGTTGTGTGCGAGAGGAGGGAGGGTGGTTTAGGGTGGTTATGGTTATGATGGTGGTGGTGGAGGTGGAGATGGAGCAGCGTGGGCTGGTTTGTAATGGGACAGTGGCAGGTAGGTATGTCGTACGTTAGCACGCCTTGCGCACGCTAGAGGTCGCAGACTAGAGGTCGCAGAGTGCAGAAAACAAGAGCGGGCTTGACGGGGCCGCGAGGAGGGGGGGGAGACGAGGGACAAGGGCAAGGATGACTTGGATGATATATTTGTGGATGCGCGGATGGAGGGCTGCGAGCGGATGACGACGCCGCATGGTTGGCTGCAAAGACGCAGCGCCTGGGCTGGACGGCCAGACGTGTGTCCTGAAGGAGGGGGGGTGTGCAGAGGAAGATGGAAGACGAGGGACAGAGAAGCTTGTGAATCGAGGTATCGCGAGGGTAGCGCCCATGTATGGGGTACCTGCTCGTGCTAGGTAGCACTGGGGAGCTCGACTGAGCGCCGTGCAGATTACTCCGGAGCCATCCTGGGCATGGCAGGAATCTGTTGACTTGCTCAACTGCTAATCTACCAAGTCAGAAATCTATTTCCAATTTAATTTGCAGATACAGTAGTCCCAAACACTGATCCCTTAGCGGCGGTGGCCATGCGAAAGAGCCCTGCACCGCTATCCCACGCCACGGGGACGCGGAGGGATGGGAGGGGAAAGTCTGGATGGGAGGGACTGACGGAACACAGCCAAAGATGAAGAAACCCGGTTATTTACTACTGCATGGTGGCCAGGGGGGCAAGAGCAAGCATGGTGCAGCTCAGCCGTGTGCCCAGACGACCCAGTCTTGCTTGTATAATCGTTGCCAATGCCAATAGCATCGACTAGAGACGAGTATCCCTGCAGCTTGCCATCACAGGTTCACTTATACGAGCATGTACTTGTACGAGTACGTGATGGCATGTAGCAGTCGACATGAACATGGCTTGCATGGATACTAACACTGGAGACTGCCAAGTTTATCTTCTTGTTTTCTTCTTGTTCTCTTCTATACTTGGCTTTTCTTCCATGAGAGATAGAGCAGGCTTATACCGAAATAGGCAAAACAAACACACGCACACAGGATGAACAGAGGAATAAGATGATGCAGGGAGCTGCAGCTGCAACTCCAATCACATTGAACATAAGCTGATACGCGTGCACATCGCCCTCAGCCTGCGGCGAACTGCAACCACAAGCTCCGGCTGCTGTCAGTCGCCGCCAGAACTGCCCTGTAAGGTACGTCCACCCAGAGCTGGCCCGCACGAACGAGTCCAGCCCGCCCAATATGCAAGCAATGCTCTGACCCGGGCTCCCAAAGGCCACCCTTGCAGTGTTCGGCTATACTGCCGTGTTGGGAACCACAGCTATCACTGATTTGATCCTTCAGGTCAGCCCGGTCTGCCTGCTCGTGGGATTTCAGTGTAAGTGAGTTGGCTTTCTGGCTGTGCTTGACCTGCCCGAATAGATGCCCGCGCTAGTCATGTCTTGATGCTCGATATCGGGTTGAAGCAGAGACACTAGCGGCCTGGCAAACTGTGCGTCGCTTATTTTAGTGATGCGTGCCCGCGAATAAATGACCAGACCGCGTCAAGGGCGAGACGAGCTAGGCTATAAGCCAAGCTGCCGGGGCTGCAGAAGCAACACCGTCGTGGTTGTACAAGTAGGTACGTACGTGGATGCAGGCTCAATAGAAAAAAATGTAAAATTAAACCAGCAGCTGGAATATACAAGGGCTTCTAAATGCAAATAGTGGCCGAAGAAAAAAAGGCAAGCAAGTGTTACTGTAGAGCCAGGGACGGACAAGCAGCTGTTACTCAAACAGGCCCAGGCCCGAAGTTGCATCGCGCACCTTGCTCCCTGAGGATGCTACCGATACGGCAGCGGTACTTGCCCTGCGGTACCGCGAGTCCAGCGAGCCGTATCGACGAGCTATGGCCACCCCCTGGCCCGTCCGTGGGGTCCGTGCGTCCCCATGCATCGATATGACCAGTCACCACCAGCTCGTGTTGGGTTTGCGCCCGGCCTGACGTTTTTATGGATCGCGGCGCAGGGCAGCTTCTATTTTCAAAAGCTGATGTCTCTCCCAGCGGCCAGCTCCACGGACTTTGGGAGTCATCTGGTCATGCGAGCCGAAAAAAAAATAGACTTGGCCTTGGAAGCCGTCTGTGGCAAATCGGGGAATAGCCGCGCCGTTACCCCATGCCAGCCGTGAATCAGATGTATCATGTATCATGTAATGTATCGTCGTCCGAGCCTGGACGTTTGCATGATTTGCCTGCCACAGCATTAGCTGGCATGTCGGTGCCGCTAGTTCGTCCAACGACGTCATCTCGGCGCAGCGGTCTTGCAACCCGTCGGAAACAAAGAGTCGCTGTCGCTGCGCTGCTAGGCGCCTTTGGGCAAAATATCGGTTCCTGATTGGCGGCCATGCGCGTGCCATTCACTAATCCATTCCGCACTGGCCATGCAGCCGGATAGAGTTGGCCTGGAGGTGGAGTTTTGCTTCTGGCTGAATGGGCGGCTTGGCCTGGCCGATAGAGAGACGCCGGCAGGTAGTCGCAGGTATCTCGACCGTCTGCTCTACTCTGCTCTACCATCGCCTTGTGTGGCCCTCCGAAACTCCGAGAGGCTGGCTGTATTGATTGAACCGCCAATGTCTCACTGTTAGGTTGGACAATAGTAGGAAGATAACCAGGTGGTAGCGGCAATTTCCTTTGTAGCGCCTCAGCGTCTGCCCGGGGTCTGGACTTCGTCGCCTCTGGCACAGCGGGCGCCTGTTCCTTGCGTGCGCGGAGATACTACCACTCGATCATTGTGCATTATCGCTAGAAACCACCCAGCCGCCCACGGCTAGTGAGATGATGCTCTTGGACAGGCATGCAAGGACGCTCAAGCGTGCGTCTGGTGGCCATGATTCGCTGCCTTGTTCAAGCCATGACCGTCCAGTGCTACGCAACGACTTGATACTTGACTTGATATTGCCGGATTACTGTAAACTTCGGCAGGGGCCTCCACATGTGCGCGAGAGAGGCATAGCAGACAGCCCGTGCTTGTTTGCACTCAGCAAGTATATGTGAATTGTTAGCAGCTGGTGCATATTACCATCCCATACGGCACAAAGTTGTTACTTGTATACCACGGGTATGGATCCTTTGATTGTTTGCTGATGCCGTGCCGGTCATCATCGTCGCTGACGGGAACGCTCCGAATAAGCCGGAGTTTGATGCGATTGAGAAGCACTCCGAGGCTACTTGGCACTAGCACAGCGATATGTCGGCGAGAGGCAGTACATGCTCGCAGCTAGGTATCTAACAGGCATTCTTAGGTCATACCTCTTGGAGGTATTATTGGAGGCATGCATGCAGTCCTTACTCGTACCTGCTCGTCGTGCATGTTTAGTGCCAGGCAAGGCATCCAGCGCCTTCCCCAGCGCGATTCTGCAGGCCTCCTCTCCTGCTAACAGGGCAGGTCCGGATTAGCCAGAAGCTAGTAGGCGCTTCCCGCTGCATGGCAGGCAGGCACGGCCGTTGCACGTTTGATGGAAAGTTGTGGATGGGCGGCGGCAAGGGAAGCTCTTGCCAGTATTGTCGCTGCGATTGGCCTCCTGTCAATAAGGGAGAGGCATACCTTATTGTCGCCACGTTGCCGACAATGTCAAGCCACGACTTCGCTCTGCCGTCCGCGGAGCTTACAAGCAACGTGTTGGGATTTGACTTTGCCGCCACGGAGCCCGACTTCCAGAACGAGGCATCAGGGCCATAGAACGGCTCGTCTAGTGTCTAAACAGAGTTGGAGCTTTGTTTGATCAGCGATGCTCCACCAGCAACTAGCTCAACAGCAGAATCTGATGCTGCTTGTCGCGTTTCTCTCGTCTGTCCTGTGCTTCAGCTCCGACAGCCTATCCACCCCCTCTTTCAGCCCCGAGGCAGCCTCTTCTCGCGGCAAAGAGAGCTACTACCTGCTAGCGGCGGCCGACGGCTTGCTGCTCCGTGGGAAAAGATGTCGCCATGCTCCCGACCGACAAAAGAGCGGCGGGAAATATCGAAAGAGGGAGAAGATGCATGCTGAGGCTGCCTCACTCGACCAATGCGCGGCCGATCCGAGTCACACAAAGAAGCGCTTGCCAGGCTCGGCCAATCTCGAAATCTCCTCGACACTTCATAGGGTGCAATAAGACGCCATTCCTCCCGTACCACCTGCGCGACAACAGCCTGCGTGATACTGCTTTGGCGTTTACGCAACACCGCGGCACTAGCCCCAACGCTAAGACGCACGCCGCTATATCACTGGCCCCAGGCGTTCACAAAGTTGATCATGGACATGGGGTCCCGGCCGGGGTCTAGAGGGCAGGGATGGTGGCCTTGGAGTGCACCTCTGCTCTGAGTGTGAGGTGCGGGAACGATTCGATCGTGCTGACCCCAGACCAAGAGCGCCTCAAGGGCCGTGGTGCAGCCCCGGCCAACAGCATCGGGAAAGCTCGTTCCCCGCAACCAGACCATGATGGCATCCTCCTGGATACCTGGCTCCCTTTCAACAGCTACCACGGGTTTTTACCACCCTCCCTAGAGACATCTCTCCAGCCGTGCATCGCAGCGCTACCCGCAACCCGGTATACGCAACGCAGCACGAGTTACCGCGTCTTTCTTCTCTCAGTCGATTTGATGGAAGAACGGCCCATTACGGTTTCTCCCCCCACGTGCTGACAGGATGACTTGCTGTCGCAGTGCAGTGGTTACTGATACTCATTAGCTGCTCGTTGATAACTTCCCTTTCGATGCCGGATTTCTGTTCCTCTTCTTCCCTGCGGATGATACGCTCCGTTCTTACCGTCAATGCTGCCGAGCAGCCACTGATGATATCTGCGGGACTGCGGAGCTGCAAAACCGTCTGCTGACAACCCGCAGCTCGAGGCATTTCTCCACCGGTCTGTCCCATGATAGTGGTAGCAAAAGTTACTACTGATAGCAGCAACATTAGTACTGCTAGTAGCAAGTAGTAGTAGGATAAAAAGTTGCACCACTACTGCTATATTGCTATTACTCCAAGTACTGTCTCGACCTCGCAAACGCGTACAACGGAAGACAGCCCGAGGAGCATTGGCAACGAATAGCATACGGGCGAGGCTTATGTCTAATCCAGGGTCTTTACCATACTGCGCTACGCCATCCCGCTCATCACTCACAAGCCTTTTCACTCGATTCGAGTCCACTCCAGCGCCCCCACCGCGCCCGCAGCGGCCACTTGCAGATGATGAAGGGTGTATACCATCGAAGCCGCTCAGGATAACTACCCGCAGGTCTCTACAGCTGATGCTCAGAATCCATCAACCAGGCTGGGAATAGCTCGTCCTTGTGGGTTCCCCTTTCACTTTAGTATGGGACCTTGTGAACTAGCAGCGACCACCTGCCCAAAGGCGCCGCCATCCATCCAAACCTTCAACCACACGCTTACCACATGTTGTTATATTATACAATCAAAGTTTTGAGCTGTGCCTGAAAAGAGCACGGGCGCTTGCCTGCCTTATGCCTTATACATCAGACTGGCAATGCACTACAATTGTGCTCATGAGGCCGGATTAGAACCTGTCATTTTCAGGGTTGAGATAGTCCGGCGCCCATTTATCCAAACCTCTACGTCGCCTTCTTTTCCACCTGTGCTTTCCCCGGGCATTAGCTGAAGACACAAGGTTATGTTTAAACCCCTAGCCGCTGGTACTGAACTGGATGCCGCGTTGCTGTTAGCAGCCAACACTCACGGAGACAGCCGAGCTTGCATATAGGGATCTCCATACGCCAGAGAAGTACGCGGGAACATAGCACACATGCTCATTTCTTTACCCGCCCACCCCGTGCTCGCGGTGTGGCTACTTGGCTACATGCTTGCACCGTACAAGCATGTACGCACACACACAAAGACTTAGCCATACAGATTAGACGCAGCCAAGGATGTCGGGACATGTCACCCCACATCCCATTGTTAGCTTGGCCGCACCAACGCCAGCAAGGCCTGAATCTCTCACAATACACCACGCATTTGTGCCTCACAACAGTGGCAGCAAAGTTACGCTAGCCCCGAGATTTACTATTGTACCAGCCCCTCCCTTGCGCGAGCTTGAATTGGTGGCTCCTGTACGAAGTACACGTCCGATTTCTCAGAAATAAGTCAGGGGTAACACAGCGGATCTATCTGATGACGTCCACACCTTGGTGAATCCCATGCTGCGATTACCGATGTCTCCAGATTAAGCCTCGAGGAAGTCAACTAAGAACTTGGAGGGTAGCGCTTTAGCACCGGAGCTTTTTCCATGCCCCAGCATTCCAGTACCATACGAAGTAGATAATGTTACGCCATACTACAGTACAAAGTATGTATTCGCTTTGTAATCTATTGCGCTGACCCTACCACACTCATCAGACGTGCGTTCATGGAGTTCTTATTCAACACCGAGAAGGCATCTAGGATAATGTCGGATCAGATGAAATCATAACAGTCTATCAATGTCTAATATACAATCTACTGCAGCGTACTTCGTGCATGGGCCTGCTATGATAACAGCTCACGTCAACTCATAGCTAGATACGCCGCCAATGCGGGGAGTGCGGCGTCTGGGACATTACTGGCAGACCCCTCCGAGGAGAAGAGAAGAGAAGCTCATGAAATTATGCGCACACAGGCCTTCTTCTCGTAGGTATACGAAGTGCTGCTTGTATAGAACAAAGCAGGCTGACCAGGGTATGGCTGAGGAATCCTGTTTTCGTACCTGGCAACTTGATCTCTCATCAGAAGTTGTGCAGTTTGGCGTCACCATACCCTGTAATCCGACGCATAAGAATTTGGTCATATTTTGTCGCGGTGAAAAGACGTTGCTTGTCAATAGGTAGCCATTTTCGCTGACAAGCATTATCATTTTCTCATCGACGCTAGCGAGTCGTGTTGAAGCCTGACTTCTGACCGCTGTTGTCGAAGCTGCGGGCTTAGAAGCATCTGATGTCGCTTCTGCCATCATTTACATCTGTCGCGATGTTACCCTGGATATGTATGATCTCACGAGACAGGACATGAAGAAGTAGCGTTAGTCGAGTCCACTTCGGGCTGCGCATATAGCCATGTGACTACGGGTCAACAGGATAGATGCATGGAAATTTGGTATTCCGAAGCAAGGATGCTTTTCTGGGAAACCACTCGAGTGTTACCTAATTTGAGACTTGTCGTCTCTCAACGCCCGAGAGGGGCAAGTTTGTTGATCTCTACGACGGGGCCAAGATGCCCTGCTTGCTCCTTTAGCTTTCCGGACCAGTGGCTATCATCATCCTCGTTATTGGCTGCAAAGATCGTCTAGCATGCCTTTGAAGCCGGTCTCCCACCTCAAGAGGACAAGCCATTCTGCTACCTTGGCACATGTTGAACGGTGCAAGGTGGTAATCGAAGTGGGAAGCACATGTTTGTACGAAGTTAGTATCTACACGCTGCATGCTACGTCCCCCACTACGAGATGAATATTCCCGTAAAGTCCTTGGGCGACGCCTCTATGTCGCTTCATTTGCGGCCGCGGGGCATCCATTTTGAAAGCCGTCTTGTTGGGCTTTAAAATCCCAGCTCTGGATACTCCCCGCTTGAATAATACCCCGCAGGGTCTTCAAGATGAAAGAGAAAAAAGCATTTGGCGATTAGCGCCCGCACCCCTTTTAAATAATTACGAGGATCATTCATATGTCAGAGCATGAGATCTAGTAGACAAATTACCCACTCATGCAGTGTTCGTTGCCAGGAACCACAAATCCTAGGACTCTTACATTTCTCTGGGTTTAGCAGGGATCGGTTTGGTTAGCAAATCTGAGCGGCAAAGCCGATGCCGCGATACATCTTTGTGTTGTTTCTGTAGCTTGCATCATGTGAGTCAATGCTCCTTTTTCTTGTTCATCTTGCAAGAGTTATAGGTCCACATCGTGTTATTCACGGCATTGGATGGACTAGTCGAGAACTTTGGGAGTGTTGCGTTGTGGTCCTATATGATGAAAGCGTGCATGAGATAAAGGGTCATCTGGCTCTGCTAGTCGAAGTCAAACGCGTGCGCATGCTTTTTACCCCATCTTCGTCCTATGGGGTAGGAGACGAGACAAGACAACTTTCGTGCTGTTAGTGGCTCCAGCTTCACCACAAAGGCCAATACCACCTTGATCTTTCTCCAAGATCCAGTTGGGACGACACGACGAATCAACAGATGCCTGTTGTTAGAGTAACAGAAGGTCTGAGAGGCGTTTTTGCATCCAATACACCAGCTTCTTGTCGGGCTATCGAGACATGGGGTGGGAACAGAGACAGACCCGATAATTCGGCACCCACTCCCTTTCTGTTGGGAACATGGCGCATCAATCTTGCAAAGCCTGGGTGCTACACCGAAAGAATAGCTGGACGCTGAGAACCCCCAAGGCCCAATGAACGGCGCAGATGTGTGAATAGAATCGGCTAAACGAGAGTGAATACGGATGATGATACAAGAGCATGTGTAAGACTCGCCAAGAAAGGGGCCGCCAAAGAAGTAGAGCCGAGGGCCGGACCCCACGAACTGAAAGAGCCTCCGTGTTCCCGCAAACCACGGTGACAGTGTGGTTATAGCCTCGTAAGCCTTTCGGAGCGGTTGACAAATATCATGTCTCACGAAAATGGAGAGAGAGAGAGGAGCCCACTCGGAGCCCGCTTTTCAACACCGGGCGGGATCAGGAGCGCGTCTTGGGGGAACCCAGAGTCATACAAAATGATGGTCTAGATCAAAGAGATGCCAGTTCTCCGAGGGAACATGCTGCTCGGTGGCGATACAGCCTCATGCTTATTGGCGAAGTGGCCAAAAAGGGGGCTCATTCCTGCGACAGGGTACGCTCTCTGTTTCGGTGATTGCACACGGCCGGTAATATCGGTACCAAAGTTGTCCGCTTCAGGTAGCATTCAGGATCCTCCTTCAACTTCTGGTTTTTGTGCACCTTGTCCTTTTGGGCGGGCTTGGCGAAGGGCAGGTGGCAAGTGACTTGGAGTGGTAATGTTACAGAGTGAAGTTGCATTTTTGTAATGATTCCCTGGCTTTTCCTTTGGTTCCCCGGCCCTCATGGATTCCTTCTCCAAGGTAGGTGGTAGCTAGTATCTCTGTCAAAAATTTGTTAAATTGATGTACATGCGACATTGCGAAGGGTGGCGCTCACATTAAGGGAGACGATCTGGATAGGAGATTTCGTAGGTCATGATGATTGGTTTCGCAATACACTTCCACAAAGCGGGAGTACATCTAGGAATAATTGTAAATGTAGCACTTTGTGACATGAACGAGTGACAGAATTTTACTTTTGGCAAATACCAAGACTCTCGCTGACGTTCTTATACTAATTTAAAAAGTAATATTTCGTACGAAGGCGCTCTGATGCTCACCGGCTCTGGATAGCCAGGGGAGAGCTCACGTGATAAATCACGTGATAATAATTTTCTCGAATGACTTTGGGCATGTTATGTAAAATTTTGGACACGATGCAATGAAGCAAAGAAATAATTGAAGTCGTAAATTCTGAAGACTTGATATCATCTCTTGGAAGAATTACTATTAGTGTCAAGTGCGTCCATTTGGCGCTCTTTGGTGTTTCGCATATCGATAAGGCACCCCACATTGAACGTCCAAAGTGCCTTATCCCATTATATCAGCATTTTTCAGTGACTTCAGCGAGAGAGAGCGCGTGTGAAAAACTCCACACTACAAGAAGATAGCCAGCATGACGAGCTTAAAGAGGACGCAGCGGTCAGACCAGGCTGCGCTGAACATTTCCAACAAGGTCTATGTCCGGTCGACGCGGAGCGGAAAAGTGCAGAAGATTGTTCGGGAGGTCTACCTGAGGACGGATATACCATGTTCGTCAAACTTGTGTCGGACGTGTTTGAGCCAGGCACCCAGAAATGCGGCCAACGAAGGTGAGAAATATGTTTTAATCTGTCAAGTATGAAATCCGATGAGGCGGCACGAGGCTAACTGCTTATGATAGCTCTACCATTTGTCCTGTCGGAGAGACCGGCGGGAACAAGGTCATTTCCTCAAGGCCACTATCTGGTTCCTGATACAAACGCATTGCTGAACGCCATGGACCTTTTTGAGCAGAGCTCATCATTTTATGACGTTATCATCTTACAGACTGTTCTGGAAGAGCTCAAGAACCGCTCATTTCCTCTGTACAACCGCCTTGTGGGACTGACGAAGAGCGAGGACAAGAGATTCTACGTCTTCTTCAACGAATTCCGCCAGGAGACATATGTCAACCGTGAAACCGGCGAAAGTGTCAATGACAGAAATGACCGCGCTGTGAGACAAGCTGTCAAGTGGTACGGGGAGCATCTGGCATTGACCAAGGCGGCGAAAATCCCGGCAGTTGTCATGCTTAGCGATGACCGAGACAACTTGAGGAAAGCTCGAGAGCAAGGACTGCACGCGTCTTCGCTCAGAGACTACGTTAGTGAACTGGAAGATGGCGAGAGGCTACTGGATATGATTGCAGAGTCACAGTCTCAGGCCCAAGGCGGATTCAAGCAAGCCTCTCAGCAGCCCATTTACCCAGAGTACTATACCGCGTCAAGGATGATGACGGGAGTCAAGGCCGGGTTGTTGCATCAGGGAATCTTCAACGTGTCTCCGTACAACTACCTTGAGGGATCCATCAAGGTCCCTGCTTTCCCGAAATCTCTGCTTATCCTAGGCCGCGAGAACATCAACCGAGCTATTGATGGCGATGTGGTAGTCGTTGAGCTGCTCCCGCAAGATCAGTGGAAGTCACCATCAACAAAGATCATTGAAGAGGATACGATTACGAAGAATGAGAATGCAGATACGGAAGAGCGCCAAGACTTTGTATCTGACAAAGAGCGCAAGGCACTTCAAGAGGAAGTGAAGAGGACCCAGAAGGCGTCAGGAGAGAACCAGCTACAGCCAACAGCCAAGGTTGTGGGAATAGTGAAACGTAACTGGCGGCAGTATGTCGGCCACATCGACCCATCGACGGCCAACAAGGGCTCATCACAAGGCCGAAAGCTCGATAGCGTTTTCCTCATCCCCATGGACAAGAAGATCCCAAAGATTCGTCTCCGCACTCGTCAAGTATCCGAGCTTCTGGGCAAGAGGCTGTTGGTCACCGTCGACTCATGGGACAGAGACTCGAGACATCCTGTTGGGCATCTGGTGCGCTCTTTGGGAGAGCTCGAGACCAAGGCGGCAGAGACGGAGGCTCTGCTTCTAGAGTGGGATGTCCAGTACCGACCTTTTCCGAAAACGGTGCTCGACTGCCTTCCCAAGGAGGGCCATGACTGGAAGGTGCCTGCCAGCAAAGAGGACCCTGGCTGGAGAGACAGAGAGGACCTTCGTGAACTTCTCATTTGCAGTATTGATCCTCCTGGCTGCCAAGATATCGACGATGCTCTTCATGCTAGGCTATTACCAAACGGCAACTACGAGGTCGGCGTTCACATTGCCGACGTGTCAAACTTTGTCAAGCCTGCTAATGCCATGGATACTGAAGCGAGTATCCGTGGTACCACCGTTTACCTGGTCGATAAGCGTATAGACATGCTTCCCATGCTGCTTGGCACGGACCTCTGCTCTCTTAAGCCATATGTCGAGCGCTTCGCATTCACAGTCATCTGGGAGCTCAATGAGAATGCCGATATTGTTAATGTCCGCTTCACAAAGTCAGTTATTGCGTCACGCGAGGCCTTTAGCTACGAACAAGCACAGCTCCGGATCGACGACAAGTCACAGCAGGATGACCTCACAAAGGGCATGCGAATGCTGCTCATGCTGTCCAAGAAGCTCAAGAAGAAGCGTATGGATGCTGGTGCCTTGAGTCTGTCTTCACCAGAAATCAAAGTCCACATGGAGTCAGAATCTTCGGATCCCATTGACGTCAAGACCAAGGAACTCCTCGACACCAACTCCTTGGTAGAGGAGTTCATGTTGTTCGCCAATGTCAGCGTTGCCGCCAAGATCTACGAAGCGTTCCCCCAGACTGCCATTCTACGACGCCACGCCGCTCCTCCCAAGACCAACTTTGACGAGTTGGCCGATCAGTTGCGTATTAAACGCGGTCTTGAATTGCGCACAGACTCCAGCAAGGCACTTGCCGATTCTCTCGACAAGTGTGTCGACGACAAAGACTCATTCTTCAACACCCTTGTTCGTATCATGGCCACCCGTTGCATGATGAGCGCAGAGTACTTCTGTTCCGGAACCCAGTCATACCCTGAATTTCGCCACTACGGTCTCGCTTCCGAGATTTACACGCACTTCACATCCCCCATTCGTCGATATGCAGATCTTCTTGCCCATAGACAACTTGCCGCCGCCATCGGCTACGAAGCCGTCCACCCTTCAGTCCGCAGCAGAGGCCGTCTCGAGGCCGTATGCAAGAACATCAATGTCCGTCACCGCAACGCCCAGATGGCCGGCCGAGCCAGCATTGCCTACTACGTTGGCCAAGCTCTGAAGGGCAAGGTTGCTGAGGAGGAAGCCTTTGTGATGAAGATTTTCAGCAACGGATTCGTGGTCCTGGTGCCGCGATTCGGTATCGAGGGCTTGATCAGACTACGTGATTTGGCTGATCCCGAGCCGGAGAGCGAATATGACGCTGAGACGTACACTTTGACGACAAAGGGAGAGAAGAGCATCAAGGTAGAACTTTTCCAAAAGGTTGTAGTTAGAGTCCATGACGATAAGGATGAGAGGACAGGGAAGAGAGGCGTCAAGATGGAGTTGGTGAGTGCTTAAGTAGATCAAAATGGCCAGGAACAGGACGTTTAATATAATGGAATTTGTTAATTTGGGATACATGCACGAATGTTAGAGACTAGAAAAGGATATTTTTAAGAAGTTCTATCTCAAGAGGTTCTCCTTTTCGCCCCCTTTTCAGAAATTGCGTACATCTAATATGTAATATTGACATACATGTATGCGTTTGTGACATACAGTTCAAGTCCGCTTTATTTTTATATTACCAACCGAACCTACAACGCCAAACTCTTTATGAGAATACCATTAACAAAGAAAAGAAAAAATGTGCACGAAACATGCGCAATTATATATGTCAAAAAATCCGGCCACATTGCATCATGAGTTCCTCTGGGTTCCTCTTTTTTTTACTGCTCCATGGCATCACCCTCATCCGCACCATTAGCATTGTCATCGCCCCATAGGCCATCGAGCTTGAACTCTGCAGCCCATTCTGTGACAATCTCCTTCTGGTCAGCCATGACCTCTTCCTCGCCGGCGTTCTTGATGGCTGGTTTGGCAGCGCCGTTCTGGCCCTTTGCATTCTCGACTGCCAAGACAGGGGCCTCGACCCATCCTTGGATGCGGCCGTCTCGCCAGTCAGTCACGACAGTCATGGCGGCGGCGTTGATGTTGGGGACACCGCCTCGGCCGAGCCTGCCACGCTTGCGGGCAACCTGGACCAGGAAATCCGTGGTGATGTCGCCGTCGGTGCTGCTGGGCAGGACGGCGGGGATGTCGTACACGGCGGTGAGCTTCTGCAGCAGCTCAGGGGTGGCAGAGAGACGGCGGAGCAGCAGGCTGACGGCGGGGATGGGATCCTCAATCTGCTTGGGGGGAACAGCGTTGAGCAGAACGAGGTGGGCGTGAGCCTCGGTGGCGCTCTTGATGGCGACGAGGCCGCCAGACTGGACGGAGGACGAGGACGGGAAGACGACACCAGGGGAGTCGAGCAGCGTGAGCTTGCTGTCGATCTTGACCTTGCGGATGCTCGTAGTGACACCGGCCTCTGCACCAGCAGGGCAGGCCTTGGCTGAGCTGGCGCCCTTGCCGCTCATTCTGCTGAGCAGAGCGTTGATGACGGAGCTCTTTCCAACGTTGGGATAGCCGATGACACCGACAGAGACGGCGCGCTTCAGGTCGCGGCTGGCAGCATAGCTCTTGAGGGCCTTGAATAGCGCAGCAGAGGTGCTCTGGACGCTCAAGTCGCGGTGGTTGAACATGTGCGCATTCGCCGCCGCGTGCGCCGCCCGCACGGGCAGGGTAGGGAAGTACCGGCGCAGGTAGACGAGCCAGTCGCGCAGCACCTTGGGGGGGATCAGGTCGACCTTGTTGAGGATGAGGATCAGGCGCTTGCCGCCCGCGGCGGCGGCCACGACGCTGCGCTCGACTTCGCGGGAGCGAGTGCCCTCCGGGTCGCGGGCGTCGAGGACGTACAGCACGACGTCGGCCTCCTCGACGACCTGCTTGAAGACCTTGTCAAATGTCTTTCGTGATGACGCCTGGCCAATGGAGACGTGTGCGCCGTCATCAGAAGCGTCGCTGTCGCTGTTGTAGTCGTCATCGTCATCTTCGTCCATGTCGTCGTCACTCGCCGCAAGGGACTTGTCGTACTTGACAGCGGCCGCACGAGCGCTGGCAAGCAAGGCAGCCATTGGGTTCGACTCGTCGACGTCGTCCATTCCGTCGTCCTCATCCATCTGGTCCACGCCCGCAGCCTCCATAGCATCCTCGTTCTGTTCGGCGCCGCCTGTTTTGGCAGCCTTGGCCATTTCTTTTTTCCTCTGAGCCTCCTCGGCCTTCTTTGCGCGCTTCTGCTCAATCTCCTCCAGCATCTTCTCCTTGTAGGGGAAGAGATTGGGAATACCGGGGTCCTTCTTCAGTTTTGATCGCCATTCTGGGTTCTTCTTGGCCAGCTTTCGATCCTTTCTCTGCTTGGCCGCGGAGGCCTTTTGGATCTTGTTGCGAAGACGGGTTGTCGTCCGCTTGGAGTTGGGTCCTGCGGCATCATGGTCAGCATTTTGTTGCAAAACTTGATAGTTCAAGGACAATTTGAAAAGGATCATTCAAAACGTACTCTTGGGCTTGTTAATTGTGCCTGCCATTGTGCTTTATTCTGTTTGATATCGCCAATGGTAGTAATTTTTCTTAGCTGCAGTGTCCTCCTAACTTTAATGGCATGCCGTGCTAAGAAAAAAAAATTAAGTGGGATGCCAATTCTGCCATGCATTTTCTCCACACCGCCTTCATTATCAGCCCCATATTTATCGCGATAGGATAGCGAGCATTTGAGTCTCTTTTGATGAGTTGAGGTAGCCAGTATGCAAAGTCACGAGCGTATTGTCTACATCATAAATTCGTATCGTGCATGATAAATGGCGATAGCAACAAAAGTACCTAGCTAGGATTACATTGCCGGCACGAACTACCGCTTATCGTCCTCACATGCAAAGCGTCGAGAACACATAGTCCAAATTGGGTAATGCGACATGTGTTCGTTGTGAGTTTCCTTTTGAGTCTGGCCGAACAGACCTACTAAGGCTAGGTAATCAAGAGTCAGCCTGCGGTTAATTTGATTGACCCATGAATTGAGAGCTAGATTGTAGACACCCTACGTTGTCTGCCCAGGAAATGGGTCCAGCCGTCTAATAGAAACGTCTAATAGGAAATAATCGACCCCACTTGTGACTGCGTAGCCGGAACTCCCAGTTGGAAGATGTAGTAGATAGTTCAAATGACCACGGGTATATAAGGCGCATTGTCAATTGGTAAATGACCATTGTAGAGTTTTATTCTATAAAGTTCCTTCAATTTCCGTTTATTAGGCCAAAGCTTCAGTGCTGAAGGGATACCTTGATTATTGCATAGGTACTTTATATATCTTGGTGTAAGACAACATAGTGACCCCAAGGCCCCCTTACACACTCCAAACAATGTCGTCGAACTCCTCTCAGAAGATTTCCCAAGCCCTTGAAGAGGCTAAAGCTCGCTACATTGTGCGAAATGCCAAATCCAAGATCCTTCACGAGGAAGCCACCAAGTCTTTTCCCGGCGGCAATACTAGGACAGTGCTTCATACAAGCCCCTTCCCCATCTCTATGAAGTCTGGCAAAGGTTATCAGCTTACATCTGAGGATGGACATGTGTAAGTGATATAAATGTAACGATATACATAGACCATTATTTAAAAGGACTTCATCGGCTGACCCGATTCCTGTAGCTATACAGATCTCACGGCCGAATTTACGGCAGCTCTATATGGCCACTCTAATCCTGTGATCCTCGACGCCGTGAGCAATGTTCTCAACAACGTGGGCATGAATGTTGGGGCAACTACGCCTCAAGAGCAGTTATTTGCTCGAGAACTATGCCAGCGCTTCGACCTCGAACGAGTGCGGTTCACAAACTCCGGAACCGAAGCCAACCTCCATGCTCTAGCCGCCGCAAGACTGGTCACAAAGAAGAGAAAAGTTGTTGTATTCAACAAGGGCTACCATGGAGGTGTGTTGATCTTTTGGGGAGGAAAGCCGGCCCCCAATAATGTTGATCCTGATGACTGGATCATCGTCAAGTATAACGATCTTGATGCCGCCGTTAAGGCAATTCAGAGTGAGGGGGTAGCCGCCGTGCTGATGGAAGGTATGCAAGGCAACGGAAGTGGTCTCAGTGCAATACCAGAGTTTTTGACTGGCATCCAGGATGCCGCTGCCAAGGTAAGGATAACACAACGATGCACATAGGCCGCATATAATGACATGTGTACTCACGGATATTAGGCCGGTGTTCTTTTCATCCTTGATGAGGTAATGACCTCTAGGATATCAGCCTCTGGACTTGCAGGCCTGCGAGGAATCAAGCCAGATCTCAAAACATTCGGCAAATATCTCGGGGGTGGCCTCGCTTTTGGTGGGTTTGGAGGAAGAGCCGACATCATGGGAGCATTTGACCCAAGGCAGACCCTTTCAATTCCTCATTCGGGCACCTTCAATAACAACACCCTCGTGACACACGCTGGATACGCAGGGTTGACAAAGGTATATACTCCTGATGTCGCGGACAAGTTTTTCAAGACTGGTGAGTCGTTCATATCCAAGCTTCAAGAGACAGTCAAGGGAACGCGGCTGGGCTTCTCGGGAATCGGATCCATCCTATGTTCTCGATTCATCGATGGAGATGTTGAGGTGAAGGATATCAAAAGCGCAGATGATTTTACAGAGAATGAGGCGTTGAAGGAATTGTTCTGGTTTGAGATGCTTGAGCAAGGATTCTGGATCACACGTAGAGGTCTCATTGCGCTGGTACTGGAGACGCCACAGTCTGAGCTTGATAGGTTCGTGGGAGCGGTTCAAGCATTTGTATCACAGTACAGTGACGTATTGGCGTTTGAAGCGACAATCCGTTAGCTAGGCAGTTATTCAATTGATGCAATGAGTATGTGAGGAGATATTCAGAGGCTGTGGTGTACTAGAGCTGCCCAGCGGTGTTGGTGGAGCGTCCCTTGCACTGTGGAGAGACGCCGCTAATTGGCTAGCCTCCTGCCTTTACATAATCCATCCTATTGCAGCCTCGCCTACCTTGTAACTTTTCTTATCAGTCGCGCCTACAGTCTAACAATCTATCCATCAATTCCCTTCAGTTCACCCTCGACATCCCGAATCCTCCAAACTTCTCTTCATACAGCACACCCAGAATCCCCCCAAATGGATTTCCAAAATCGCGCGGGCTCCAAATTCGGCGGCGGCGGCGTCGCCTCCCACTCCGCCACAAACGCCGACCGCCGCGAGCGTTTGCGCAAGCTCGCCCTCGAGACAATCGACCTCGACAAGGACCCTTACTTCTTCAAGAACCACGTCGGCTCCTTTGAATGCCGCCTCTGTCTCACAGTCCACCAGAACGACGGTTCCTACCTCGCCCACACACAAGGCAAAAAGCACCAGACCAACCTCGCCCGTCGCGCCGCCCGCGAGCAGAAGGAGGGCAAACAGAGCATCGATCCCGCGACAGGTTTACCAACCAGCGTCGCCGCGAGCCTCACTGCTAGGCGCAATGTCGTCAAGATTGGCCGCCCAGGCTACAAAATCACAAAGATCCGCGACCCAGTCACACGCCAGCAGGGTCTCCTCTTCCAGCTACAATATCCCGACGCCACGCCCGACTTGGCGCCCAAGTGGCAGGTCATGAACGCATTCACACAGCGCGCCGAAGAGCCAGACAGGAATTTTCAGTATCTGGTCGTCGCTGCAGAACCGTACGAGAGTGTGGGATTCAAGATTCCGGCCAGAGAGCTGGACAAGCGGGAGGACAAGCAGTTTGCCTTCTGGGATCCCGATTCGAAAGAGTACTGGATTCAGGTCATGTTCATGACGGAGCGTGAAGAGCGGTTCAATGCTGCTCCCGGTTTAACAGGCAGGAGATGAGTCTGGGTAAAGAGAGAGGGAGGAGGAGGAAGAAGAAGAAGAAATATACCAAAGAAGATTCTACCATTCTCCACGCCGCATGATGGTTTCGAAAACTCATATCGGCAGGGGAAGGCTTTCATTAAGCCACATGCCAGATTTTCTTATTAACTAGTACTACGATTTAGGGGTAAGAAGCTGTCCGTTGGCTCAACAGTGGCATGCATTTTGCTGACTTGTAATTAACTGAATTGCTCAAGGCATTTCAACCTCAGAATGAACATGGGAGAAAACACAACAGGAACAAAGACAGGAAATAGCATATTTGGCGCAATGTCAATTACGATGAAATTTTATATTATAATTTTGTACTTATCTTGGGTAGTATTCATTATGAACCATCTCTAAACCATAGTTTCATCATGGGAAAAAATACCCAGCAGCCTAGATATAGTTTGGGTGCTGAATATCATCCTCCTTAAGCATGAGCGATTATTTACATTATTAGACAGGAATTCTTGCCAATTTGTCGTAGACTTCAATTGTTTGAATAGGGTGGCTTTATTTTACACTACCTTGTGTAGATAGGTATGTTAATACATCGTCCCGCATATATACTCGTACAGCTTATTGTTATTACAATACCAAAACATTAATTTTCCCAACCCCTTTCTGTATACATCATGTCACATTCATACCGTAAGGCTTTTTCTTCCTTTCTCTTTTCATCCCCATGACGTCTTTTTACTCAGTCGTCGTCCAGATTTCCCACGTTAGGACCTTGAGGTTTGCTCGCGAATGAGCTCGCACCCCAGTGATACAAGCTCCTCAGATTACGCTTGATCCAACCTTCAATCTCCGCCTCGGGGACGACAATCTCCTTCGCGCGAGCCTCGTCCTTGGGCTGAATCTCGAAGCGCCGCATCCGTTCTGCGATGCGCGAATCAACCACCACTGGCGAAGCCCAAATCTTCTCCTTGGGCGGCTCAGCGGTCTTCTTCTCCTTCTCCTTATCGTCGGCAGCTGCAGGTTCTTCGTCCTTCCAGACGAACTTGGGCCAGTCGCTCTCCTCGTGCTTCAAGATGAGCTGCTGCTCATATTGACCGTCAACTTCGCGCCACTCACGCGCAGCAGCGAAGCACACCGCGGCGACTTCTCGGCCAATGTCGTCAGCCAAGTGACGGCGGGTCAAGAAGCGGCCCAGACGGACAAAAGTGTGACGGAAGCCGAGGCGGTGAGGGAATGCAATGGCGGTGGAAGGTGAGAATTCGGCGGGGATGATGGCGGGGAGGCTTGCGGAGGGATAGTCGTCGGGGGAGTTGTGAGGGCGCGGCTGTGGTGGCCGCTTGGATGCTTCATCTTTCTTTTGTTCTTCTTCGGGCTTCTTGTCCTCGGGCTTCTTGTCACCTTCGCCTTCTGTAGACGGGGTTTCAGGCTCGGGNGTGTCTTCGAGACTTTCGACAACGGGCAGTGGCGGGGGATCGAGAGGGCCCAACCATCCCTCGTGTAAGCCTCGAACATACTCTTTCCACGTATGCCGGACGATGACGATATCGCCCTTGACGCCCTCATACTCTGCCAGCCCGATTTTCTTCCTCTGGCTTTCCACAATGGCTTCGTCTGTCTGCGGTAATTCCTCGTCTGGCCGCTCGTGGGCCTTTCTTGATCTCCTAATCTTCTCGGCAACGGCCGCTCTCACATCTCCCTGCTGTCGGCCCTGGACAAACTCCCAATCGAGGCCGGAAGCTGCCAGAATAGGCTTCACATACTCAATGAAGTGGTCTTGAGCGGTGCGTAGGCCATCACCGGGGGGCGATTCCAGATAGACGGTAAGTTTGCGCGGAAGCTGGCTGGCATTTCCGAGCAGTTCTTGGGAGAGCGGCGCAACGGCTCGGCGCCACTTGGCTGTCGCGCGGTTCTTCTCGCGCTTATCGTAGATGATTGCGGCGGCGAAGGAGGTGGTAATGGACAGGAAGATGAGCCAATTGCGGGATGGGAGCTTGCGAGGCAGGGCCGGGAGGCCCATCATCTTGAAGACTGGATTGCGCGGGCGAGGCTTTGGAGCGCTCGAGGAGCCGGCGGCCGGCGGGGTCGAGGGATTGGGGTCGGCCATGGTGATGCGCGGCCCTTTGGCTTGAGGTGCTGCTTTATTAAAGAGAAGTACTAGAATTGAGAAATGAAAAAAAGGAAACGGTTGGCCTAGAGGGGTTCCTCTGATATCGATTTGCAACCTGAGGCCGACCAATCGGGTGCTGCAAGTACGCAACTCTCAATGGATGCTGGTATGAAGTTGAAAAAAATTGGATGCGATAAGGATGCGGGACACGATAAGGGTCGGCGGCGCTACATAGGCCGCAGCTGGTTTACATGCAGCTGTTGAGCTTCTGGCCGTCAACGCCAAACAGAGGCAGACAGCGAAAACACACTTCGCATTGAATAGAAGAAATTCAAACAAAGATATTTTGAATTAAAACTCACTATAGAACTAGCAGCTGATTCGATATATATAATTCGACATATGTGAGTGCTGATGACATATGTGAGTGCTGAAGATGGTAAAAAGAGTTGGTCTCGCTTTCATGACAACTTGAGCTTACAAGTTACATATAGTTATGAGCTACTAAACATCAAATCGGGAATATCTGGATGCAAGCTTTGCCATCACTCTAAAGCAAGAGAAAATCAAGCTCAGTAACCCTCAATACTATGATGCTGATCAAGAATTGCAGAGCCTCATGTCCAACAATGCTCGTGCAGTGTCCCGCCCCACAGCACCGTTGGTGGGTTGAGTAGGCACAGACTCTATAGAAACGTTAAAAACCTGGCAATGGTTTACGCATCAAGTCGATAATCTCGTCTGTATAGCATGAATGACACGGGCAGTAGATGCCCTGTCCCTTGTAGCGCGCAGGCCAACCTCTCGTCATAATCCCAGCCTTGGGATAAAAGCCGCGAGGTCATTAAGCATGAGACCCTGCATCAAAAATGATGCCAAGCCAGCCCCAGCTCACCGGCCGGGAGGTTTTCAGGCAACAAGGTGTCCTATTTGGACTGGCCAAGCATGATCTGGGGCTCGACATCCTGACCTCTAGACCCTGCATGAAGCAAGGTAGGCTGCTAATGCAACCTTGAATTCCTACTATACATCTACCCAGTATTAGCCTGTGTCTCTTGTCATAAACACGGATGTTTTCGCGGGTATTGTCGCAGGTCAACCTGAGATGAAGCTAATAACTGGGGAGTGACTGAAATCATTGGTAGGTAGGCTAGGGATCCTGGAGAGCTAATGGCTATCGGATTAACACTTGCTTAGCAGCAGTGGCGCTTGTAATATACTGTATTCCGTTCAAAACGTAACCCCTGAGCAGAGGAGGGTCCAAGATAGCCACCAATGTATGAGCGCTCATTCTCGGGCAGCGGCACGTACGATTATACAAGTCCAGGCACGCTTAGCAGAGAAACCGCAATTCTCTATTCAGAAGTTGTTCTCATTTGAACTGCAACAAGCAACAGAAGGACGAGTCAGGTAAGCGTACAATTGCCTTGGCAGGCAAGTCCCAGACAAGAGACGGGACGAGCAGGTCGCCAAAATGTGTTAGCGGCGATGCTTCCGCTGTCCATGCTCGTGCTAATCTCTGCCTATCCGAGCTCTCAGTGCCATTTCTCATTTCTCGCTCCAGCAATTGACCAACGTACATAAGGGCACAGACGTAACAGTTAGGCCTGTAGTAGCCAAACAGTTAAATGGAGCATTCCCTGTTACATCGAATCCATTCATCTGATGTATCGATATCTGCTAGATGAGACCAGCGCATCGAAACCCACCTGCGGTAACGGCTGCTAGAGGTCTGGTGAAGACTGCCCTGGGCGTCCACTAAGCAAACTTTCTTTGGCCGCTACAGCGGCAAAGGTCCCTGATGCTCTGATTGTTTCGTGCTGTGAGCACCAACCAGAACAATTTAGCGGCCTACCAAGCACCGTGCCCCCGTTCCCCCCCTCACTAACGACCCCTGGCTTCGGCGCGTGAAGAACATTGAAGGTACCCAAGCTTGCACCGCTTACCGTGCAGAAGCACTCGCATAAACGCGGCGCTCAGGTACCTCTCAAGTAGCCGTCACCCCGCTCAAGTCAATTTTCACTTTGTTAGCACGTTGACCGCCCTCCTGGCCTTGTGCCTGCAATAACGCCTCCCGCCTCTCTCGACCCCTCGGCCTCGCAATTCCCCTTTCCAGCACATCACCAACAAGGAGCTGCACCGAGCTGCAAAATCAACCACCCGTCACAGACCACCGCTCCAATCCGCGGCCAGGCCCTTGCGCTGCTCTCGCTCTGTGACCGCTGGAAAAATTGGGCCCGCCCGCGCTGAGTAGCAGCGGAGCTCTCGCTTGCAGCGGCATCGAATCGCAGCTCGTCCCCGTCACGCACTAGCATCTCCAGCACCGTCTCTCGTGCCCCCTTTCCGACCCCTCAGGCCCCGTCAGGCTCGCATCCATACCGTCTGGTACTTGAGTAGCCGTGCTGCTTATCGGCTGCGGATATGGACTCCAACAACGGCCGTCTGTACTTGAACTTCGACAACCAGCGACCGGCCGCCAACGATCGAGCCTATCCCACCACGCCCTCAACCTTCCCCCAGCCCGTCTTCCCCGCGGGAGCTCAGTCCAGCATGCAATCGTCCCAGCAGCAGTACGGCGCGGGCTACCCGCCTCAGGGCCAGGGTTACTTTGCGCAGAACCAGCAGTATCCGGGCCAAGCAGTGACAAGCGACTATCCCAACGCTGCCTATCCCCCGCAGTCTGGCGCGCCTGGCACCAACGACCCGAACACGGGCTTGGCTCACCAGTTCTCCCACCAGAACCTCGGCGGCAGTGCCGCAAGGGGAGGACAATATGCTGGTCGAGGACCATCGTCAGGACGTCCACGAACTGCGGGCGGCTCAGGGCAGCAGGGCAGCTACGGCAACTACGCGCCTCCTTTGCCTACCCAGGGCGCTGTCTCTTCGCCCGAGTTCCAGCCCATCCCAGAGAGGAACCCTGATAAATATGGCACAAATGCCAATAGCAACCAGAAGAAGTGCTCACAGCTAGCTGCAGATTTCTTCAAGGACAGCGTGAAGCGAGCTCGTGAGCGCAACCAAAGGTACAGTCTCTTTCACTTGTATACACCCACACTTTGTATCCATATATACATCTCTCCAGCCTTGCCCCTCTTTCCTTCTACTAGACCTCCCAGAAACCACATCAGAACCCCGTTGGCTGACATCTGGTTGACGTGATAAAAAAATAGGCAGAACGAGTTGGAGCAAAAGCTGCAAGACCCCGGCCAGAGCTCAACTAGGAGAGAGCAGCTCTGGTCAACTGCTGGCCGAAAAGAAGGCCAGTATTTGCGATTCTTGCGTACTAAAGATAAGCCCGAGAACTACAACACGGTCAAGATTATCGGAAAGGGTGCCTTTGGTGAAGTCAAGCTGGTGCAGAAGAAGGGAGACGGCAAGGTCTATGCTATGAAGTCTCTGATCAAGACTGAAATGTTCAAAAAGGACCAGCTGGCTCACGTCCGATCAGAACGTGATATCCTTGCCGAATCTGACAGCCCCTGGGTAGTCAAGCTCTACACCACCTTCCAGGATGCCTACTTCCTCTACATGCTCATGGAGTTCTTGCCCGGTGGTGATCTGATGACTATGCTCATCAAATATGAGATTTTCTCAGAAGACATTACGAGATTCTACATTGCGGAAATTGTCTTGGCTATCGAGGCCGTTCACAAACTCGGTTTCATTCATCGGTAGGCTGTTCTTCCGCTCTCTTTTTCGCCTATATTAATCTTTGGTCACCGGCTAATTCGAATAAAACAGTGACATCAAGCCCGACAACATTCTGCTGGATCGTGGCGGCCACGTCAAATTGACCGATTTCGGTCTTTCCACTGGCTTCCACCGTCTGCATGACAACAACTACTACCAGCAACTCCTGCAGGGCCGCTCCAACCGACCCCGAGACCGAAACTCGGTTGCCATTGATCAAATCAATCTCACAGTCAGCAACCGATCTCAGATTAACGACTGGAGACGATCTAGACGACTGATGGCTTACTCTACCGTCGGCACGCCAGACTACATTGCCCCCGAGATCTTCACAGGCCATGGCTACACCTTTGACTGTGATTGGTGGTCATTGGGCACCATCATGTTTGAGTGTCTGGTGGGCTGGCCGCCTTTCTGTGCTGAAGACAGCCACGATACTTACCGCAAGATCGTCAATTGGAGGCAAACGCTGTATTTCCCTGACGACATCACCCTGGGTGCCGAGGCGGAGAATTTGATTCGAAGGTAAGGGTCGACTAATCTTTTTCTCAATTGAATTAGAATTGGCTAACCAAAATGAATAGCATGGTCTGCAACACGGAGAACCGACTTGGACGGGGAGGTGCCCATGAACTCAAGAGCCATGCGTTTTTCCGCGGCGTCGACTTTGATAGCCTGCGCCGCATTCGCGCTCCGTTCGAGCCTCGCTTGACGTCCAACATCGACACCACCTATTTCCCGACCGACGAAATTGACCAGACCGACAACGCAACTCTACTCAAGGCCCAGGCCATCCAGAACAACCGCACTGGCGCAGCTCCCGAGGAGTCGCCCGAGATGAGCTTGCCATTTATTGGTTACACTTTCAAGCGGTTCGATAACAATTTCCGATAGAAGGTCTTGATTTTCATGATGAAGCGGGCATATGCAGTAGAGATTTTGAATTCAACGCAAACTAGAAGTGCGTTTACAAGATGAAGATGGGAATTTTGAAAAAGGGTCCATGCTTAATCGGCTGACCAAATTACGAGGAGCAACTCTGCATAAAGGGTCAACGTTATTGCAGCAGAGACCCTGTCGTTTATTGAAGATGCATGATACTTGGCATGGAAAACAGTGCCGATATCCTTGTTCATATCGTTGGAAGATTTTGCTTTGCTTCTGATTTTTTATTTTTTTTATTGCATGAAAAGCAGAAAGGGAGAGGAGGGAGTCAAGATGGAACACGCTGGAAATAGTTACGGTCTCATGGATATCAGAGTTGCGAGAGAGGCTTGGTGGCATTAGAATATATGACTGAAAAGAAGCTTCGTTCCAAGGCCAAACTTCCAATTTAATATTGATTATATGCTTCTGCCCATTGCGCCCCTTGCTTGACGCCGAATGCCTGAAATGGTGGTAACCCTAAAACCTTTCCCATGAACGTTCTTATTCCCTCTAGTGTTTGAGAAACCTGTCTTCTAATGCCCATGTCATTACCACGTTACGCTTCCGTACGTTTGCCTATTATATCCTTCAAGCTTCTCTCACTGAGCGTTCGTAATACCATGAGCATTTTGGAAATCACTGTTTCAATGGCCCCATTATCGTCACGTTGAGCTTTCCCATATCTGCCGAATAGATATTCCAAGCTCCTCCAACAACCACTACCATTCATCCTTGCAAGTTGCGTGTGGCGGTTTTAACGTCTTTGTTAATATCCCTCTGCGTGTCCACCCGTGCTCTCAAATGAGAATTCTCCAACTTCCATTCAATCAAGGCGCCTGGTCAAGTCAACTATAGCCTTCTGTGACTCCTGTGTTGTAGCTCGCAGTCATTTGATATTCTGCGTTCACGGCCTCAACTTTCAGCAACGCCGATTTCAAGCTTCTCTTGTATTTAGCTGCTCCAACTATTTTCCGTTTGGCGAGGAGGGAGAATTCTTCTTTGTCCTTGAGTATTTCCTGTATCTCGCCGTGTCCTAGACTGCGAAGAGCAGGAGTCGCCTCAACTGTCATTGCTGTGCTTTCCATTTCATCTTGAATCATCGTTGTATCTTGAATCATCGTTGTATCTTGAATCATCGTTGTATTGTTGTCTTGGTTCTCCACTTTTAGCTGATTATTTTGACTGACGGGCGGAGTGCACATTGGGCTGAGCACCGTGTCTAGATAGTCGTGCATATTTTCGCTTTCGCGGTCGCTGGCTTCAGATACAAACAATGACGATTCGCATATCCATAGGTTGATCAGGTCTTTGTAATATTAGCCACCGATTATGTCCATTGCTATGTTTGAATCAGATACAAACCTGGATTTCTGTCGTGGAACGAAGCAGATGGATCGACGTCCAACGGTGGTTGCTCTTCTGGCAGCGTGAAGTCATCATAGACAGACATCCGGTCTCTATTACCCATTGAAGAAACTAATAGAGAATGAAGAGCGTGTTGAAGATTGTCCGCCATGATTTCCTTTTAGTAAATCGAAAAAAAAAAAAAAAAAAAAAATGTTACGAGACAGGTAAATGGAAGGATGATGATGGAAAAGAAAGAGGGGGGAGGGGGGAGGGGGGAAAGGGGAATAGGAAAGGAAAGGAGGAGGAGTTTGAGAAGAGCTAGGAGGAGTTTATATAGGTGTTGTATAAGATCTAGCAGTTGCTAATCAGCTGTATTGATCAAACCAGAGAGCAGATAAAACAAAGGAAGCCCTGGAAAAGAAATTCAGCACTCCAGTTCCATTCTACAACGCCCCAGCTGTAGCTCAACAAGGCAGTCAGCCTACATATAGCGAGAATGCTGGATAACTAATAGTGAGTTGAATTATTATGAACGAAGATAAAAGGAGAGAAACAAAACAGCATGAAAACAGCGTAATTTGCGTAGCCGAGAGGTTGGAACATAGAAGCGTTTAATGTATGATAATAATACGCTGTACGGTAACATATGCGAGAACATCTATTAACTTGTATATGTGGCGCGAGAAAAGTAGAAAAATGAATCAGAGCGGGCCATAGTGAAGGACGTATATACAAATTATCCAGCTTCGCAGCCGTATTAACCCCCAGACCACACCTATCCTCTCCTCTTCGAGTCTTCAGTCCAACTC